TCATCGGAACAAAGTGCAACGTAAAAACAAGAAAAATTTAAAAAATGGTACTCACCTTATTGGGTTTGGAGGCAGTGCATCCTATAGGCCACTCAAAGCAGGAGGGGATCAGCAGCGCCTGCAACCGAAATGAATTAAAATCATAATAAAATGTATTCATTTCGAAATGCATACCAAGTCAGGGGACGATGCACTGCATCCTGGAGTCGAGTCCAGTAGAAGGAACCACCTCACAAACACACACACACACTTCCAAAAACCGGAAACAGTTTCTCAGAGAAACTGCCGGTCATCCCGGAGAACTGAGGAATCCACCAAAATCCACTGGTATTCCACTAAGATCCAACCAGAACCACTTGGGAATTTTAGATGCTAGAAAACGTTAAAAATATTTAATTATCATTACCGATGACGTGGCGACCTGTTAATGCAATTAACATTACACTTACATTACATTAACAATACAAATTAAAATTAATGTTAACTTAATGTTATCTAACATTTTTCAGGTGTTCAATTTGCAACTTACAATTTGCATTTTCCATTCAGCATGTTAATTTGCAAAATATATAAAATTAAACTGAAATTATAATACCCTCTGCAAGGGTATAGGGTATAGGGTATAGGGTAGGGCTGCTCAGTCAGTCAATCTGTTCCTTCAACGACATTCTCGTCCGCGCTTCAATATTACTCAGCCGCACTGTTGGTCACCATGGACTTAATTGTTTGGAGAATAACTTGTTGAGTAGATCGCATACAAAATGCAGCAGGATCCCAGGTCGAACTCCACTTTTATTTAGGTAAAATCTGAGATTAACCTGTGAGTTGGCGCAGTCAACATGCCCCGATCAACTGACAACAAAAGAGGCGGAGGAGAAAGTAACTTCCTTTCTGCAACTGCAAGCCGAGTGCGACAGGAGGGGACCGAGAGGGGTGCTCCTTGCTCTTGGCCTACTCCGAGTGGGCCACAAGGCTTCCCCGCCCCCTGGAAAGGCGCAAAGCAAGCCAACTCTGATGAGCACTGGTCTTCATTTCTGTAATGTTTTTCTCAAAGCCCCAACAGCCAACAACCAACACCTTTTCCTTTGTTTTCCACCACTGCATTCTCCGGCACTCCTGGCTATTTCCCTTCCCGTTTAGAAGGTTAGAGGGCCAGGAGCACCACCTCGGTGGCAGTGTGCATGCAAACACGTTTCTGATTAGGAATCAACAAAACCGACAACGGCAGTCGGAAGGCAGAAGGCAGAGGGCGAAGACAGAAGGCATCCAAGACGGAAAGCAGATGGAAGGGAAACAGGACGTGGTCATCATGACAATTGCAAAATGGAAAATCTCTGCAAATGCCTTCCATTCCATTTAAAAAGATGGTTATTCTTGAAGCCAGCCCTTCAAACTATTTCTTTGTGGTGGGAAGAGCTTAAAACAAACGTATACGTAACAATATTCCCTCCTTTAAAAATGAAAAATTCGATTGCTACAGACATCACAAAGGTTTCCCGCTGATTGGCAAAATGTAGTTTTAACCATTTGCGGCTTCTGGGTTTCCGCTGTCTGCTCATAAGGCACTTTCCACGGACATGACAACATAAATTTGGTGTCGAAGAGAGGAAAGCTAGGAAAATGACCTTTCCCTGTGGCGGGGCTCACCTGCAAAAGGCAAAAGGCCCGTCCGACCTCGCTTCTAATTTTGGCATCCCCCACTAAATTTTCATCTGCTTTTCAATTTTCTCCCACCGCCCGAAACAATAAAGCAAAAGTTATGCGCCTCGAAATTTCCAGCACTCTGTCTGTACCGAAACACAACCAACTTTTCCACCCCCCTTTTCCCCCCTTGAAACCGCCGCCCCTGGCAATGCACACGAAATAAACGTGTTGAAACTTAACTGAAATTAATTTGCCAAAAATCAAGGCGAAAGTTTCGTCCTGCGATTCACTTGGCTCCCCGCTCCGGAATCGCCTGAATTTCCTTTTTCGTCCTTTGTTGGGGCCATCAACTTGGCGGGATTTCGGTCATTCGAAGGCAAACAAGATGGCAGATGCCCGAGTGGATGCGGTGACCCCTAAAAAGGAGCCACTACCAGCTATTTATGTTCTCCTCTCTTATGTTCAGTGTGACTTAGGTTATCGGCTTTACTTTCCCATTGGGAAAGGGAAAGGGATTGGTTTTGATTAATTTAAGTGCGTTTCGCCGGCATCCACTATCCGCTTAATTCCCTCCCTTTCAACCGTTCGTAGTTCCCGGCGGAAGGTTCGATCCGTATTTCCTTGGGAATCAGGGGTGCAGTCTTGCTCGGCAATTAATTCGGTGGCAGACAGAATTAGTGGCGCACTGTAACCAGATAACCAGATAACCAGATCAGCGGAGCCCCCTTCCGTCGCCATGGGCGTGGTAGTGCCACCCGTATCCGGACTACGGACCCCGGACCCCGGGACTCGAATCCGTCCGGATTGCGGTGCTTTTTTGCGGGTGTGCGGAGTGAGCGAGCAGTGATTTGCATATGTATTGCCACGAGATTTGCATTTATGCATGGCGACGTCTCCCCCTGCAAACTACTGCCACCTCCCACCACCCACCACCCAGCAATGTTTTCGGATTTGCACATTTGCGGTCTTGTTTATGCGCGCCAGTTAATCGATTATGCACGGGCTGAGTGAGCACCGGAAATGTGCAAATGCTGCACTTCCGCTCCAGCCGGCGGCCTATAAAAACTGGGATCCCCCGCCCCCCCACTTGCCACCTCCCTTCGTTTGACGTCCTTTGTGCCGCAGCGAGGTGTGAAAACGGAAGTCATTATCGCTTTGCTGTCATCGCAGCTCCACAGAGCCAACTATCATTTGCAGATGATGGATTGCCCTGACAACTCTTTGGATTTCATGGCGGCTAATTGCCAGACTTCACCCGATGCTAATACTGACTATAAGGTTTAAGGTTTTTAATGAAAATGGTTTATGGCGGAGATTGCATTTGAACCCCGTGACAATTGTCATGCTTAATGCCATGTTCACTTTTTGCAGTGCATTTCAGTTTCGGCTTGGCCCTCAATCCATCCCGCGTTCATGTGTTTTTGCGGCTGCTTATTCAACTCTTATCGCCTGTGGCAGTGTGTCCAAATCACGCATTTCGACAAATAAATGCAGCGAGTTGTGCATTGAGCTCATGCGGGCATCGTGGGCCCCTCATCCGTGATGGCAAATGGGAGGAGGCAGCTTTAAATCATGCAATACGAGCATGGCTTATGCATTGCCTGCTCTTCAACCCAATGGAAATTGGAGCAGCTTAAAACGAAGCAGCTCAATAATGGTTACTCAACGGAGAACGGAGAACGGAGAATTGCGATGCTATTCGAGGCTCATATTTTAGCTTGCAACAGCCTGCTGCAGCAATCCCCATTTCGGCATCACAATGTAGCTGGGCGATACCGAGGATGCTAAAAGATACCGGCCAAAGGAAGCCAGAGGAAGGCAGATGCAAGGAGTCGCAACTCCGGCCAGTCTGGATGTGGATGTGGATGTGGATGTGGATGGGGACGGCAAAGTTAATTGAGCAAACCGGCTGGCGGGCGGCAGGCCGCAGTCGAAATCCAATTTCTCTGCAAATACACAAATGATGGCTTCCGGTCCGGTCCTCCTGCAACCGGAACATTTGGCGGAGCAACAGCAGCAGAAGGAGCAGCAGGAGCAGAAGGAGGAGGAGCAGCAGGAGCCAAAGCATTCAGAGCTGCATCATTCATCTGGCCGGGCAAAAAAGCAGGAACGCAGCCATGAAAAAGGACGGGCGGCAGACGACGACTGCTCGCAAGGAGCCCGGCCAAAAGGAGGAAGGGAGTGGCCATCTGGCCATCTGGCCGACACTACCACCTACTACTACCACCTACTGCCACCACCCACAGGGGCGGCAACTTGGCCAACAGCAGCAAGTGCTGAGAAAAACAGCCAACGGATACGAGTCCCGGCGGGCGGCGAGGACATCTCTCCTCTGCATCGCAAACATTTCAAAACTCTCGCAGGCAAAGAATATTAAGGGACATGGGGAACAGCACTTCAAGGACCCTCAGCAATGTGGTGCAAAAATCCATAATGCTTTGTGCATTTTGCGGAAGGAAAGCCGCAAAAGAGGAGCCTTATCTCGAATTGTATGTCGCATCAGTTCGGAACTTTAGACTTTACGGGTATTTACGTTTCACCCAAATGCAATTGCGAGTATTACTTTGAATGCATTTCCTTCTTCCTTGGTAGCGGAGATATGGTAGTTACACCCACTGAAGCCTCGAGCAGATTTGTGATCACAACACCTCGATCTCGATGTTAAAAGTGCAGCCAGGAGCTCAAAGGGTTCGAATCTGGACCTGATGTCCAGCCTCCGCAGCAGCTGCAGGGAAATCAAAACATTTTTTAGACCGACAACAAATTCAAACTCAGCCAGTGGACCAGCTACCCTCCCCTCTCCCCTCTTCCCTCCTCCCTCTTCTCTCCCTTCAAGTGGGCAAAAACAGGGGGTGTTTGCTAGTGTGCACAAGTAATGGATGGACCAGGAGTCCAGAGTCCGGATTGCGGAGTGCGGAGTCCGGGAGGCCGATATGCATCTGACAGCATTATGGGCAAATTTGTTTGTCTTGTAAGCATATCCTTGCCGCACTGCCGGCTGGCCGACTGGGATGTGTCTGCTGCCGTCCGCCTAACAAGCCAACAACCAACAACCCACCGCTCAGTTCAGCTGGCCCACTTCCTGCCACCCGCCCATGCGGGTCCTCCTGCCCCTTTCGGAACAACATGATCCGCTTGCAGAGTAATCTGCATATGCGAACAAACATCTGGACGACAGAGTTTGCCAACAAATTGCAAATTGCCGGAGCAGGAGCCCCAAATCAGGACGAAATCAGGACGGTCTCCGGTCCAAGCTCGGCCCAAATCAATTCGCATGGAGGAGGGAACACGGAGCGGGACACACCAGCCTCATCATGCTCATCTGCTCATCCGTTCGGGCCACCTTTAGGATTTCTGGTTCATCTGCTTACGTTTAATGTATTCATTTAAGGAAACAGGTTCTGTTTCGCTCCGAGGGTCCGTCCTGTCCCACTGCTATCTCCTCTTCCTTTCCAGAGACTTGGGTCAGTCCGGACCGCTCCGTTTGCTCTTGCCGCCAAACAGGGTGGCGGGGTAGCCCTCCGGGGGAAAGCCGTTGGTGAACTCGCATCGCGGGTGCTTCCCCAGCCGGAAGATCATGCACAGCCTGCCCTTCCCCCTGCGCTTCACCTGGGCCGCGTCCATGGAGTCCATGGAGGCCACCTCGTCCGTCTTCCATCCTCCCGTGGCCGCTCCCTCCGCCAGCAGGACCTTCTTCCCGCTCTCCATATCGCTCAGCATGTTGCGCCTGCAGGATTGGACTTCGACAAGGAGTAACCGATGAACAGTGCCCCGCCCCCCCGAACATTTACCTGCAGTTGACTGCGATTCCGTTGACTCAACTCTCCCAGACGTAGACAGTAAAGTCACAGTAGTGCTGTTGCTGTGCTTTGAACTCGGGACACAGCCTGCCACGCCTACTGCGGCCCCGCCCCCCAATCCCGGCGAGCGGGTGATGTGGCACAGATGGCTCATGGCGCCCAGCACCGAGCTACGGGCTACGAGCTACGAGCTCCTTGCTCCTTGCTCCGTGTGCCGTGTGCCTTCTGCCGTGCTTATCCCCAAACTTTGTCACAGTTAAATGACAATAAATGTCACACAAAACGCCATAAGCACTCGCACACATGTACTTTTCTATACTCCATATGTGTATTTACACAGGCGCACACACACACACGCACACGCACACGCACACTCACTGATAGGAGAGGAGAAGCACATAAAAGGCAAAAGTTTTGCGCGCCGGCGAGAGCAGCGCATAAAGTTCTGCTTTGCCGGCTTTCCCATTCACCTTTTGGCCAGGCCAACCAGCCCGACTTCTCTATGCCCTTTAACCCATTTTGGCCCTCGGAAGGAACTACGTGTTCCCGAACTGGGCAACTCCCGACTCCGTAATTGAAGCTGTCGATTCAAACCTGGTTGTAAACGTTTTCGAATCAAATCGACCAAAGCTGTTGCAGGGTATTCAGAGTGCCGCCTTGCCCGAGAGACATAGGCCCTTGTTCTCCTTTTATTTTATTTGATTTTATCTTATTTTCGTACGTACTTAAGCCTGTGATGGAGGCACGTCATAACTTGGCCGTAAAACAGCTGACAACTCGGAGCGGAAAGGAGGGATTCTTCGTGGCATCCCTCCCTCCTGATGGCATCCCTCCTCCCACGGGGTGTCCTCCATCCCGTTCCCGTTCCCATTCCCCGCCAGCGAGTTGTTTTAGTGGCTTAATGTCCTAAACAACTGCTCAGCAAGGGACAAAGGGAAGGAAATTGAATTCCGTCTGAATTTAGAGACTGGCAAAAGACACTCGCGCGGTCTCCACCTCCTGCCTTTACCTCCCCCTTCCATCCACTTTGTGTGTGGGTGTGTGCGTGTGTGGGTGTGTGCGTGTGTGGGTGTGTGGGTGTGTGGGAGTGCGTCTAAAGCTGACCGCAAAAACCATCATGCGGGTTGTACGAGGAGCATGCTGTATCCTGCTGTAACCCACAAACCTCATTAAAATCGAGAATTCCTTCCCGAATTCCAAGGTCGAAAGCGTGAGTGTATGATCAAAAGTGCGTTATATCAGCAGCTCAGAATTATTACCATAATTAATTTATATTTGTATTTGGTTTGGCAGAATTCATATTTACCCCCAGCAAAGTTTCCGAGTTTTTGCTGACTTGATAGGTTTTCCTTTGCATTCGCATATTTCTATTTCTAGTTTCCCCTGACTAATCTAGTTTGTCATTCGTACCACGTTTGGTGCTCTGATTGCCAACAAATAAATTAGTTTTATTATTGGGCAAACCTTGATTGGCGGCAAACTCTTGATCGCCATGGAAAACGATTGGCTTGCAGAGGGCAGGAACCGAAATTGGAACCGAAAAGAACTCACAGATTCGCAGAAACCTGAAGTCAACGCTATTTTTGCTCGCATGCCGTATTATTTCGCCACAGAACTCCTAGTCTGCACAGGGAGAAAATCCCAGGACTCTATTGAGGGTGAAAAGGCGATTGAAAACAATTTGAAATCAGAACATGATGCTTTCTAGTGTACCTACGAAATATAACATAGGTCTCTCCATGGATATTTTAGCGATGAAACGCAAACACCTCTGGATGCGTTTGCATTGAATTTCACATTCGATTTTTTGCCACGGATGAGGGGGCTTGATATAAGAGGGAAATGCGCCTGTCGGAGGTCGGGAGTCGGGGGACTTTCCCGCGTTGCATTGCTTTGCCCGGACGGAAAAACACACAAATAACTGTCAAAGTTTCAATACTTCTTGAAAAAGGCCGGCGAAAAAGGAGGCGAGTTTCGGGAAGTGACGGCAACAACACAATGCTCGTACAAATTGAAAGTCCTCGATTGGACTCCTCTATTCCGGACTCGATTCCCACTTTTCGCCTTTCATTAAAACAGCAAACAGAGGCAACACGGATCGAAGCGGCAACTCCAGTCGCCTTTTAACCGGGAACAATGATGGGCATCCTGGAGCTATGGAGATCGGTTTCGATTTCATTCACGGTTTCGAGTCCATTGTTTTAGATGTCTGTTTGCAGGATGACTTAATAACTTCAACTCGACGGACCCAATTAACACTCGGGATGTACTGATGCTGATGCACGGAACCTCTGTTTATTAACAGGGTAACACGATATCCGCTGAGCGCCCTTCAACTCCAGCAGCTGCTGCAGCTTCACAACTTTAATTATTTTCACACGCAGCAGCGCTTTCAAGGAGGGACAACAGTAGGACAACAGTGAGTCAGCCGGCAGGATAATTTAGACGAGTGCTCGAGGGGCCATTATGTGGCATTAACTTGCCAATTTGGCCCCGCGACCTCGGGTGCTCCCAGCTCCCAGCTCCCAGCTTACCTACTCCCTGCATTCTTCGTTCCTCATCCCTCATCCTTGATCCTTTATCATGCAGCCTTGCAGCTGCAAGCGGCACAGGATAATGCGAAGGCCGGACAGCAGTGGGTTGAGGCAGAGCCCTTCTACACCTCCAGATCGAACTTTGAGCAGCAAACAGGTTAGTTTCTCACTGATTTGTTGGGACAAAGGAGGCCCTTACTTTTTCATTGTAAGCTTCAACCCCACACCACACCGTACACTCGGAACACTCACCCGACTTCCACCTAAATCTAAAATCAAGCTCAACCAACACACCAACACCCCATGCATACCAAAATTCGCCACGATCCGCCGGGTGACGTGAACACCGAACCGCCGAGTGGAGATGCCCGTGACCAGGATGCCAACTCGTGCCAACCCGCGGGTGCCAAGAGGCTGGCCTTGGACCGAGCCGTTGCCAATGTGGTGGAGCTGGCCCGTCGCCTCAACTTGAGCAGCGTGAAGGGCTACGGGTCCCCGGAGGAATCCCTGGAGGCGGCAACGGAAACTGATGACAACCGCAAGACAGGCGGCGACCCTGCTCGCGCTCCACCTGCAAGGACTAGCGGCGGACGGCTGCTCCCGAAGCACAAGCCCAGTGCCACAGTGAGATCCGTGCGCATGGCGTCCAGATTCCGGAGGACCGAGCCGAGCCACCGGACTCCCCGAGGCGTCCAGTGCCTGACCGCCCACCTGCCCGTTCCCCCGCCGCCTCCGCCCCCCTCCCCCCGCTGTCCACAGGCCCGCGAGCTCTGCCTGGCCCTGGAGGGGGCGGAGGCCCTGCTGGCCCAGTACGCACAAGCGGACGCAGTGCTCGACCAGCTGCTGGAGCAGGCTAGGGCCATCGACCGCCAGGCGGTGCTCCAGCGCCGAATGCAGCGCGACGCGGACATGGTCCGCAGCCTGGAGGCGGAGTTCAGCGGGAGGTCCATGCTGTGCCTCGCCGAGGCCATCCGGGCGGACTGCGAGAGCCTGCAGGTCAGGGAGCTCCGCGAGCGGTGCCTCCGCTCCCTCGAACGCCACGAGCAGCGGCTGTTGGCGCTGGACCGCCAGGAGGAGCTCCAGGAGGAGGTCCAGGAGGTGGGCCGGGAACTGGGCAACGGCAAGGGCACCCAGACCGACCTCTACGACTACGACCAGGATGCCCTTTCAAAGGGTCCAACTGCAAAGGAGTTCTACTTGCCGAGGGAGCGGGAACCCTGGACGGACGAAGCCGTCAGGCGAGGAGCCGGCGACAGTTTCCAGGTGCAACAAAAGAGGGCGGAATGACGGGTGGTCGGCTAACCCGGACTCTCGATTGGACCGCATCTGAACAAAGTCCAGTAGCATCTATGAAATACTCGTATTCGAAACCTTTTTGTTAGGCAGCACTCTGCCATGGTTTCAACCTCCAATAACTCCAACATAAAAACAGAAAGCCTGTTCCGTAATGAAAGTACGGGTATTGACAAAAAATAAAAAGAAGAAAATCAAGTATTTTAAAATAACTTTTCAAATGAAATACCACTGCACCACGTAACTTCGTGTCAGTCTTTGAGGCGGAGAAAGAAAAGTTTTTGCTTAGCTGCAGATTGAGTGGCGGATTGAGTGCCGGTAAACACGGAGAAAGTACTCGAAGTTGCCAGTTGGCAGTTTCCTGATCCGAGGACACCTTGCATCCTTGCCGCTGATTGCACCAAATCCTGGCTCATAACTAATTGCCAGCGCCGACGACGCTGGCAGCAGCGGTGTAAAGTTTAAATTAAGTTGCGTGTCATAGTCGAAAAGTTTTCCACTTATTCAAAAGAGGCACGTGATCCGCAAAGCAGCGCCACGTGGAAAACCCCGGCCCCCGGAGGCCAACGACCAAGGAAGTGGGAAGGAACTCCTGGCCAACAAATATACGAGTACACTTCTCTTTTGCGTGCCATCGAAATGGCAGCGAAAGAGCTGAATCCATAGGACCACCACCGTCTAACCACAAAAACAACGATTAATGCTAAACGATAAATGATAAATGATAAATGATTAACGATAAATGATAAATGATAAATGATTAACGATAAATGATAGAGTGGTGTTGAATTTGCAAGTAAGAGTAGGCTTCTTTTATTTAGATATTTAATCAAATGCATAACATTTAAATGGAATTTTCTCTGCATCAGCAACATACGAGCATCAATTTCCTAGCGCCGACATACAATACACATTTGTTGGGTTTATCACACTCGATCTTAAGATAGCTTCCAGTTGATTCCGATCTGTTTGCATGTTGACATGGAACCAAGCACTGAATAACATTTCACCGGACCGGGGGGAAGTCCATCTCAATTGGTTTTCACCTTCGGCTGCGGCGACGCGGCTGGCGACTCATCGAAGTCCACATAATCGGAGTAGTCCCTTCGCTTGGACAGGGCCAGAGTCCAGCAGACGATCCACAGCGGCAGGAAGATCGTACAGATGACGAAGTACAGCCAGTTACCATAAATCTAAGAGCACGAAAGACAATCCGGTTTTGTATGAGTTGGGTATTTTGAATAACTTGTAGATAATTGGTATTGGGCTGGTATTTCCACTTAAAACTCTGGTTGGGATTTTAACCAAACAATAACTATGCCAGAACTATTTTCCCGTAGGTTCTTCACACACAATTTCAAACACAAAACAAACGAATAATAACAGAACGATTGCCAATTTTCGGACCAGGCGGAAATGTAAAAGCGGTCTTGCTTCTTATAACTACGTTTCGCAAACTCACCACAGAATCGATGAGCCCGTAGGCCGCGGCATCCATGGCCGCGGTGGCCGCCCTGAGCATGACCTTCTGCAGCGGTAGCTCCGGGAACTGGTAGAAGGTCATGGCTAGCACGATCACGTAGATGACCATCATGGGGTTCATGGCCAAAGTGGCCAGCCGAATCGTGTTCCTCGGCGTGCTGTGCGCGTTCTCCTCCTTGGTCTCCAGCGAGATGACCAGCGGCACCGTCAGCACGGCCGCCAAGAATCCCAGGGCGAAGTTGAGTAGCCCAATGACGATCAAAGCGCAGCCATAGATGAGCAGAAAGGCCACGTGCAGCAGCTCCAGTCCCCCAGGCGGCAGGACCACCACGAAGGGCAGAATGAAGCCAATCAGGGACAGGAAACTCAGCACCGAGGTGGTCAGCGGTGCGGCGCCCATGGGGATCTCGAGGAAGTACTGCTGCAGGGGCAGCACGTTGCACAGGAAGCCAATGAGCAGGGTGGCGGTGAGGTAGATCAGCACCGAGCCATAAGGCAGCTCGAACTTATCCGGATCGGAGTCCGTCTCCGTCTCCAGTTCCGCTTCCTGCTCCCGCTGCTGCTGTTGTTGCTCCTGCTCTCTGATCAGCTCGAGATTGGAGACCGGCAGCGTGGAGTAGGTCAGGTAAGCCTTCACAAAGGCACAGGCCACCAGGGCCACCAAGGCGGGCATGTAGTCCCCGATGGAGATGTACCGGTCATTGTTCACAATCACGTAGAAGAAGAAGCTCTGGTGGAAGCGCTCCAGCAAGTTGTTCAGACTCCTGGCTATTCCCTCGATGGCTTTTAGCAGCGGAACCGCTGCCGAGCCCGGACTTCCCTTCAGTGTGGCATGAGTGGCCCTGCGGTTGGCAGCTATGGTCAGGGCATCTATTCGGTAGCGATGAAACAGGCCATGGTTTCCATTGGGCACGCCCGACGACTGGCTGGCCAGCATGGTCAACATCTGGCGCAGATTCTTCTCAAAGGCGGACTGACTATGCCGGCGTTTCTTGCGCGGCGCCTGCTTGTAGCCGGAGGCGATGCCCTCGCGGGCCATGATCCTCTGAACCAGATTAAACATATCCAGATTGGGCAACTTTCCATTGAGGCCTTCTATCCTGACATCCACATGGTCAACCTCCAGGTCTTGGACTTCAATATTTAGAGCAGCTTGCAGCGAGCCTGCGCGAGCGGGCAAATTTCCGGGACGCAGATAAGCTTTGCTCATGTCCAACTCCCTATCGCCATCGTGATAGGCTTCCAGCCAGGCCTGCATTCCCAGCTGTTCCTGCTCGGTGACCAGGAAGATAAGATCCTTGGCCCAGTAGTTCTTGCGCCGGGCAAAGTCCGCGAAGGCCAGTAGCAGCGGCACGCTGGCTGAGATGTCTGCGTGCACGGAGCTGGCGGCGCGATAAGGAGCAGAGAAAACAATGCCCTCCGTGGAGGCGATCCTGGGAGCCCTCAAAATGCCGTAAATGTTTTTGCCGTGGTACTCCTTGCCACCGCCAAAGGGATAGCGCAGGGTGTAGTTGTGGGTGTGTGTCTCCAGGCCGAACTCGTTCATCTTGGCCGCAATCCAGGCGTGTGGCGTGGTGGACAGATGATCCTTGCGCTCCCGCTGCAGCTCTTCCAATAGCTGGATGGCCAACCGGTTGGCATCAATGCGGACTTCCGGGTAAACTAGACCTACGAAAGAAATACTTTGTGTTATAGCGGCTTCCTGGCTAATGGTAAGAACCCACCTGGGGACAGGGCGTTTTCAGAGAGATATGTTCCATGATTGAATTCTGGGAGCGCCAAACATAGGAACCAAGCCACGCCCGCCACATACAGGGCGAAGCACACTTTGCGTCCATGTCGCGCCAGTCCGTCCACCAGTTTGCTCTGCGTTGATATCGACGGATCAGACAGCAGGCCCATTTTAGATCCGGCTAGCTATATCCTTCTATATCCCGAATCACAACACAATTTTGCCCGGTGAACGGCCTATCGATGCGGGTACTATCGATAACAAACGGCTAGGGATGGTAGCTATGCAGGAGGCAGTTCGCGATAGTTTTAATTTAAACAAATTATTAGCATAGCTTCTTAAACATTTTGTAAGTACTTAAAACAAAAGGTGAAAGTTAGGTTTTCAAAATCTATTATTTATTAGTTTTGTTTTGAGTAACAATTTGTTTACTGCTATGATTGAATAATGGACGTCACAATTTCCTGAGCAGACTAATCCCTGATACATATTTCTTTTGGCCATGTCCAATTTCATGTTTTATTGTATTAAGTTGTTAAAATATATATGTTTAAAGACATATCTTATTAATATTTACACTCTTTCAATTTAAATTTCTTGTCTCAGGTTTGTTTTTATTTGTTTCTCCATCAAAAAAGAAGTTTCCAGAAAAAATGTAACAAATATTTGTAAAGTTTACAGAAACAAGATGTAATAAATTTTAAATAAAAAGTAATTTTCTGTTATTTGTATATATTACAGTATGACTATTTAAAATCTATAGTATAGTATTCTAAAGACAGAGTTCCTTAAGGTAGCCTCTGCAAAGTAGCTTACTTTTCACGTTGAAAATAAAGGTTTTGAATTCTTTGCATTTAAGAGTAAATGTTGTATATCTATACAAAAAAAAGAAAAAAAAAATTAAAAATAGCTTCACATCAGTGGTTAAATAAGGTGTAAACAATAAAGGATACAACAGACTATCTTCACGATTTCTTATCAACTAATAATGTAAACCATGTATGATGTTTCTTTTGGGCAAATATTTCATTGCCGGTTACTCTCCAGTTCTATTCTTACTATTTAATAAAAAAAAATATGAATGTGGCTTATTCATCATCATCGTCTATAACAATTATTTGCGATGATAGCAGGACAGCGTCCCGTGCCTCCGTATGCTAGCCGGGAGTCCCCGGGGTTTTGGCCACCGCCGAGGCATTGTGCGGCTTCCAGACAAGGTAATCGGTGTCAATGGTCAGCTTGGGCTGCTTGAACTGCGGCAGCTGGAGATGATCGTGGATAGTCTTCGCCGTAACGCAGATGACATTCTGGCCCTTCCAGTATTTGATCATTTTCATGGACTGCAGCGTGTAGATGATGTCTTCGTGGGTCATGCCGCTCATGTCGCTCAGCTCCTTGATTGATACCTGCTCCGGCGCGCAACGGTTCCTCATCAACTCCAGCAAGGTGTACGCCCAGTAGCTGCGGTAGCTTAGCCTTCCGAGATCCGAAAGCGGCTGCTCCGGACTGCCGATGACGCCCTCCTTGCGCGACAATTCGTAACTAAACGCGATCAACAGCTTTCCGAATCCCTTGCGCTGATGCGGCGGCAGCACGAGAATGCAGGCCACATTGTTGTTGTCCAGTGACTTCTTCTCCTTGGAAAAATACCCGACGATGTGGCTGCCTTCCTTGTCCGTCTCGCACAGGATGTAGAAGAAGAACGGGTCCATGTCGAAATAGAGAACCTTGTGGTCCAAAAAGAGCTTGGCCATCAGGCATAGCAGCTGGCAGTACAGTGGCTCCTCCTTGCCATTAACCTCGTAGATGGAAATATTGCCCTTCCGGTATATTTCCCTGCCCGGCGGACGCCTTCGCTCGCACTCGTGCAGATGATAGGCGTAACTCTCCCTGAATCGCATGTACTTCAGGCAGTATTCACAGACATAAAGGGTCTCCGCCTTGCCGTATTCCTCGGGAAAGGGACTAAAGTACCAGGTGTCGATCTCGTAGTTACCGAACTGCAGCTTGTCAATGTACTTGATTTTGGTAATGGACTCGTGCTCCTTCTCAAGCGCCGCCTGAGAGGCAGTCAGTTCAGCGTGGCTTTTCTGCACGTGGTTGATCTCATCGTACCGCCTCTTCTGGTAGCGCGTCATCTTCCGGTCGCTGTAGTCATAGCGATTGTTCTCGCAATAGGATAGGTAATAGTCCTTGTTGCCCGACCGCTTCTGCCGCTCGGCCGAGGAGGCTGCGGCTGCCGCGGCGGCCTGTTGGGCCAGCATTTCGCGGCTGGTACTGGGTTGGTCGGGTGGTAAAGGCGGTGCGGGTAGCACAGTTATGCCCCCCAAATCGTCCGCGTTGTCAGAGATGCGATGCCTGCCCACCCAGCCATCCAGACGGCGGTTCAGGCCCACGTAGTGCACGTAGTACTCGTCCGGAGTGGCTGCGTTCTTCGTGGTTCGCGACAGCAGCACCTGCCCGGCGTGAACTGTGCCATCGTCGCGGCGAATGTAGTAGATCTTCTCGGGGTTCTCGCTTATATCAATCTTTCGCATCAACGGATCGCCGCCCGTTGTGATCACCGTCTCCCTGGAGGTGCTGTCGTGCTCCATGGTCATCTCATCGTCCTCGTCCTCGTCATCCTCCTCTTCGTCATCCTCGCTGCTGCTCGTCTCGCTGCTGTCATCGGAAATGGCCTCCACATCGGCGCTAAGTATGGTTTGACTGGGCAACACGACAGCTGGCGGCGGCATATTGCGCTGGCGGGGATCGCGGGGCGCCATCCGGGCGGGCAGGCCTGTGTGGATCGGCTCCTGCATGTAGCGATTCCGCATGTAGGCAGACATGCCCACGCCGGCTGGTTCCTCGGTGTCCTCCGTGGGCGAGGCCGGGGTCTCGGGAACTTCCTCCTCTACTGGGGGCGGAGGTGGTGATGGTTGTTGTCCCAGTAGTTGGGCTCCTTTTAGACGCAGCGGAGTGGGAAAGGTGACAACCTCGGTGATTATGGCTTTCGACGGAGCTTCGGGATCCATGGAGTATTCATTCAAGTTGGAACCACTGCGATAGGTATTAATGTCCGCTACGCAGATGACCGTGTTGGAAGAGGGTTCGTCCTCAGTGTCTATGTCTTGGTTTACCTCCACTTTCTGGCCTTGTGCGTGATCCCTTGCCTGCTCCTGATCTGGCTGCTGCTTCTCGACATCCTGCTGTTGCTGCTCCTGCTCGGCAGGCTCCTCCTCAGCATCACTGACATCGTCATAGCGCGAATTGCTGCTTGTGGGAGTGCTGTCTTCAGAAATGGGACTAATGTCACGGTGCTGGCGCTTCGTCGGTGGCTCCGACTCCTCTGTCGCCTCCGCCTGCACACCACTGAGGTCCAGCGACTGCTCTCCTGACTGATCCGACCCGCTGACGTCCAGGCTGGCGCTGAGCTCAGCCGCCGCATCTTCAACCGGCGTTCTCGGAGGACCACCGTCGGGGTACACGTCCGTTTGTTCCTCCGCCTGCTGCTCCTCCACATGGTCCCCGCTGGGCGTCTGTTCCAGCTCCGCGTCAGACATATTGGCTTGAGCTTGTATTTCACCAAAAGCGTTTGTTTGTTACCTCGAATTGAAACGTTTTGCTCAGAAGTGGAGAAAACATCGACGATGTATCGATACATCGATATTTTCTAAAACTCGGCAAACATCGAATTTTTCAAACATCGATGTTTCCCTTGACTCATTGGTAAACAAATTTAGTAAGCGCATTAATATTTTTTTATCAATTAATTAAAATAAACTTAACAATAAAACTATTGTTTAATTTTAATTATATTTTTTCGTCTGCTTTTGTTCAGTAGAACTCGAAGTTGTTTTTTTTATTTTTGTTTAAATTGAGTTGTTATTTTATTTTAGGCTTTGCGTTCAATAAAAAACTAGTCTTTTAAGTTTATTTTTTTATATAAGAGTACTGTTTCAGTTTCATTTTGAATTTTGAAAAATAATAATGAAATCTATGTATTCCAAACAAATCATACTTTTTTATAAAGGACTTTTACACCTTTAATTTATTCATTTTTAATAAATAAATATATTTTAATATGATATAGAGTAGAAAGGTTTTTTTAAGTGCACCCTACAAAATTTCGATGTAGGTAAACATCGATGATTTTCCAACTCAATTTGGCTCACCCGATTAATCAGAGTCGTTAGTTATCGATTAAGCAAATTCTAGTCTTTTCTATTGGATTTCAAAAATCGAACTTCTGATTTCGCTAAAACCGTTTTTTTTTCTTAAACACTGAAAATGTATCATTCATTTAAACTAAGGTAATGTTTAAACAATTCATTGCTGCCCTGTTTAAGACGAAGTTATGCCAATGAATAACCTGTTTTCCTATTTATTGTACTCTCGTTATCTAATAAAGAAGTTATTAAATGAAAATAACTCTGAACCAATACGTATTGTAGAGCTTTTTATATTATTCTTTTAAGCTTTTATTGGGAACATGAACAAGTCCCAATTGCCCTTGCATTTTTAAATTTTATTTCATTATTCTTGAAGTTTTCGATTAAAGTTAATTTTATGTCTCAACCGAAAACCAACAAATTTACTTTCCAAATTTTTATTGAACATCTAACCTACCAAAATAACGCGCAAACAATCATTGACAGATTTACATATGTAAGTGTTTATATTGCTAAATACAGACAGCTAAAAGCACAAAATGAATTTGGAATTCTTAAAAATTCTTAAATGCATCGATAACAAATGAAGAGTAGAGTTCTGAGTGATGCAACATGCAGTATGCAATATGCAGAGACCATTACATGACCCGCCGATTAAGGATCGATCTTGGGTTCCGTTCATATATGAGTAATATATGTCTATATAAATGTGACTCGTATCCGCTATGGCCACTGTTCGACAATGAGGATGTTTACTTCCATCACATCAAGTGTTGACTAGGGTGCTCCCGATAATCCTGGCTCCAAAGGTAGGAATCCTTCGCCAGACTAACGCAGGTTTAATTGCCTTTGCTGTCCGCGATCGTAAAACAGCAGGTATGCGGGCACGCTCAAAACCTCGTCGATGCTCACCTCCCGCACAATCGTATCGGATGTATAGAACCATCTAAAGGCAGTACGAAATTTGGTTTATTGAGGGATTGTTAACGGAAGGAGTGGACCAACTCACCGATGTGCATTCCGCAGCGAGCCCCGCCGGTAAGTAACGAAGTGACCGCTATTTGCCTCGCCCGAGTGCACCACCACGGCCAGCAGGCGGTACAAGTTCTTGGGGAACATCGTGCCGAAGCCCTCACCGCCGCCCACGCCATTGTTCATCGGCAGGCTGGAGGAATATAGCGACATCGTGGAGCCCCACGGAGTGCCAGCCTGCAAAACAGATAACAAGGAAAAGTTTTTAGCAATAAAGCTGCGAGTCTGTTCTTATATTTTAGTCAAAGCCGCACAGTTGCACTTTTTTGATTAGTATACCAACACACAAATAAGAAAGAGAAGAAGTATATTTGTACCCAAAATCATGTTGGACAAAGCTGAAACTCGGTAAATATCAAAAGTTATACCATTCTAGGGCCCAATCAAATATTAAATAAATGTTTTTTATGAATTCAAAGTCTGAAATAAAAGCATGCAGTTAAAGTTTTTCTTTGGATTCAAATTTTGAATTGAATTTTTCTCTTTCAAAAGTGAGGTAGTACCCATGAAAGAGTTCATACGAAATAATCAAAAACCCCTACAGGGGCACGATGGATTAAATTTGTTAAACTCTCACCTGGCTGTTTAGATGGGGCTGGACAAAGCTATAAGGCGCCATAGAGAGGCTCTCGGGGAAGTGCACGTAGTCCTGTCGCTTGCACACCTGTCCAGTTGGCAGCCAGACCGTCCTCGCCACATGGATGCACAGGCAGGCCGGCAGCTTAGCAAACGTGACGGACTTGGTATGCGTGGTCGTCTCATTGCAGGAATCGCACTTCACATCGGTCAAGTCTTCGGATGTAATGTAATCGCTAAGCAGATGGCCCAAACTCAAGCCCGTCCTGCGCTGCGGCGGAAGGTTCAAGGTGATGCTATCGAACTTATCATACCGCACCGCTGACTTGGAGCCGCAGCCATTACAAACGATTTGTGCGCCCATGGCGCCCTGAAACGGATGCGCCACCTGGCTGGGCATCATGTTTGACCAGATGGACACCCGGCCAGGTCCTCGGTGCAGACGCTCCAGTGATCGACAAGAACTGGAGACCCGGCGATTCAAGGCTTCCTCTTGAGATTCCGGAAGACGCGAACGCGACAACCGCTCTCCACCCAACGTGGGCGTGGGCGTGGCCAAGGAAGACTCTAGCTCACTGGCCAGCGGAAAGCCAAAGGGCGTCCCAGGTGAAACAGCGTCCAGGAGCAGCGATCCCAAGCGGTCGTTGCCCTCGCGTTCGCAAACCGAGGCCGGTGAATCCGGCGTATGAGCCTCGGAACGCACCAATCGCTGCAAATTAGTACTTTCATCGTACTCCATGTTCAGGAAATCGGTAAGCATGGCACTGGATGGTCTATTGGGCTGGTCCCCGATCCTCTGACTGGCTCCCAGGCCAGCTGCCATGGAGCTAATAGGCCGGAAGCCTCCCAATGGAGTGGCTGAGCCCGCAAAGCTGCTGGTTTCATCGTTTTCGCTAGGCAGAGCGTCCGACAAACAGCCCAAAGGTTGTGGTCGAATCGCCTCCTCCTCGAGGGAGGACAGTAGCACATGAAACAGCTCGTGGGCGTCGTGCTCCTCCTGAGGGATGACCCAACCCAGAGCATTCAGAGCCCTCAGCACCGCGCCTGGGGAATGGGGATCCCCGCGCAGGGTGGCATGCGTGCCATTTATCACTTCCAAGGTGTTCAACATGGAGGTAATTAGGCTCCGGCGATCTGGTGAGGCATTATTGTACAACTGCAGCCAGGCAATGAACTGGGGACAGGCGGCCATCGCCTGGAGCAAGGTGTTCAAGAAACAGGTGCGCCCAAAGTTGTGGAGCCCGGCGATTTGACCCCGTCGTTGGCGCAACCGGGAACCTGCAAACGCAGTGTTTACTTGTAGTATTACTTAGAATAAGCTTAGGTCTGTGTGTACTCACCCGAGGGACCCCAAAAAACAAACGCACCAACAACGGCGGCCACCGTCACTCCTGCAGCCATCAGTATCTTTTCGCTCTCCATCTCTTTCCAGTGGGTTTTCAGAGCCAAAAACCTACAGCATGGGGGCCTGGAGTCCCGGAATTCGTGATCCCGCTACAAACAGAGCAGCAACTCCAAAAATGTAACAACTTGAAATTTTAATCCGAAAAATTGTTGTGTCTGTTCCCGTGTTGAAAAGTCTTGCAAGTCTTAACACTTTGCAATACTGCGTGCTGCCATTACGCAACACTAGTGCACAGTCTTTTGCTGCAAGCAAATTTATCGTTATCGTTTTGGCAAGAAAATAGTCGAGATTTTACACTGCAACTGTTCCAATATCAAATGACACTTGATTTAAGCCTGTTAAACTGTCAAGACGTCTTAAAAATTACAGCACAGAACACTTCTTTTCAGATGTAAAAAAAAACAACTTAGGAAAAGAAAAAGCTTGAATTATCGAATATAAATTTCATAGACTTTTTGGTTCACCTGTGCAGAAGTCTATCGACTTTCGATTGGCCCCAAACAGCTGTGTTGTGAAAGGGGAAACGGGATTGGACAAATGGAAAAACAAAGCAGACACAATTTTTGAATCAAGCCCAGGAAACATTCGAAAATTGGTCGTCATTCGTGAGAGCTGTGAAAAATCTGCAGCATGAGATTAGTCCTGAAGTGTTAATTAGGATCAGAGTCAATGGGAAATTAAGTGCAAAATTCATAAGTGATTTTAAAAGGTGAATCAGCTGTGGATTCGTATATGTTCCAGAACCTTCTCGTTGGTTTTCTTTTTTATCCAGTGGTAAGTCATAGCAATGGGGGTTCTTTACACTTCCCCATTACATCCACTTTGCAGCGTCCTTGTGTCCATTTCCCAATTTTCATATTTAAGTTTTGCTGCGCAATAGAAAAGAGAAAAAATAAATACACACGCGCACTCACATACACACGTATCTTTTTTCATCGCTTCTGTTTTCGTTGCCACTTTATTGCGTCTTTTGTTTATGTCGCCCGTTCGCTGCATGGCCGTTGTGCAATTTGCTCCCATTTCCCCATTTAATTTCGGAATCTATGCCACGCCACCTGCCAAAATATTTGAAAAGTATTCCAAATTTAATTTGAAATCTGTTGCTGTTTGTCTTTTTTATCCATATTTTTGAGGCCCTTGTGTGGGCTAGCAATTTCACGGTTTCTCCTAAATAAAAAACAAAAAAATAAATCAAATATAAGCTGAAAATCGATGTATGTGTGTATTTGGAACATCTATTCAAATTTCCTAATCAATGTGTTGAACAAGTTGTGATTTCAAAATTTCAGTATCGGAAATAGGCTCAGCATAAGACACCAGCACTATTTTTAATACATATGAGGAAACCCCTTTTACTCGAATCCCATGATATGTCAAAACCACTTTTGAACACTTCGCAGGCGAACTGACCCCAAGCAAAGCTTCAGCGACGACCTCGAACAAAGAACAAAGAACAAAGAAAGCCCAGAGCAACTGCATTTGCCTTGTAGCCGTATTGCCATACATATATAACTGACTGAAACCGGTGTTAGCCAAGTTCGCACATATCCGAAAGCAGTTGCTGCAGCTGCCTAACGTCGCATTTCCGCCAGCAGAACAGACAGCAGACAGCAGAGAGTTCGGAGTGAGGATGGATGACCAGGAAAAGGCGACCGGACAACCTGGATTCCAAGAGGAGCTGGAGGAGCGTCGGGTCCGGACGGAGAGTGAGAGTTCCGTGGACAGCATGACCCGCTTCGTGCTGCCAAGTTTGGACGGCACCCCGCCGAAGATCGTGACCTTGGACGAGGTGTCCGGGATGTTCAAGAACCTGCAGAACATGGAGCTGGCCCACGAGATAGCCCTCAATCCCGACTTCAAGTTGCAGAAGTACGAACCGCCCTCGGACAGGTGAGACTTCTGCCATTGCTCTCTTCTAATGGATAGAATTAAAATACAGTAGAATCCTGTTATAACGACTCCGCTTATAGTGTCCGTCCGGCTTGTGCGTCGAAAACTCGATGGTTTGGTTGGTCCCCATACAAAGTTATATGAAAGGGCCTCCGCTTAGAGCGTTTCCGCTTTTAGCGACAAACCGCTTATAAGAATGAAATTTTTCAAGAAAATTGAAAAATTTAACCGGATATTGCGTCGTGCCAGAAAAAATACAGTGCCATAGTTCCAAATTTAAGCATCAAAACACGCTGTTAGAAATGTACATATGTATGTATTTGTCAGTGATCGGCACCCTTGCTTGTGTGCGTAGCAGCGACACGAAGGATCTTGCACTGGCACAACTCTCTGTTAGTTTTAGCTGTCGCCTTAACAACGCTGCTGCGAGAGAGAGAGAGTCGAAGTGCATGCCGACGTCACACTGTGTGTGCAGACCTCATAGCCTATTCCATGAGATGTCCCGTTATATTTCTAGTTTTTTCTGCTTTTTTCCCAGTAAAACTGAATGTGCAATAATAAGCTCATTCAGTTTTCAGTATTTAGAAAAACCTATGTTTTTGAATTTAATTTATTAAATTTTTTGTTTTAATTAAAAAATTGATTTGATTTATTTTAAAAACCTATTACAAACACAGCAACCATAAAATAATCAAAAAAAAAATTTTTTTTTCCTCCTTTTGCTTAGTGCGTCTTCCGGTTATAACGACGAAAAAAGGTCGGTCCCTTGAAAGTCGTTATAACCGGATTCTACTGTAGTTGAAATGTATTCACCTCGAACCTCATAAAACTGCACTTTTTAACCCGTCAGCTTGGAGGGTGCTATCAAGAAGATGGTGCACAAGGCGTTCTGGGATCTGCTGCGCCAGCAACTGGATCGCCAGCCGCCTTCGTATGACCAGGCCATCCGACTGCTGGCCGAGATCAAGGAGTGCTTCCCGCAGCTGCTTTCGCCCATCAACGAACGGGCCTTTGCTCACATCAACGAGGTGCTCGACGACGCGGTGATCCGGCAGCAGGCGGAGCGGGGAACCCTGGACTTTCGTTCGTACGCCAACTTTGTGATCAACATCCTGTCGCGCTCCTGTTCGCCCGCACGGGACGAGGCGGTGGCCGCACTGCGGGAGATCGACGACGTCGTGGATACCTTCCGCAGCATCCTCGAGCTGATGACCCTGATGAAGCTGGACATGGCCAACTTCATGCTGACCGCGGCGCGAACCAAGATCGCCGCCAACTCGGTGCAGTACGAAAAGGAGAAGTTCAGCAAGTACTTGCGGGAGTTCCACGGAAATGGTGGGTATACTCTCGACCCAGAAAACATACAGAGCGCATAAGAAAAGCTTTAAACCTGGAACACAACTTTCGTTTTGAAACCAGCTGGTTTTCCGGCCACCGAGGATTGGCTGCAGCGTCACAGTTCCGGCACCACCAATAAGGACGAGACCATTTACAATGCCTATATGCAGTTGATTGACTATCCGGCGGACAAGGAGTTCCCGGAGCTGCTTCGCATCGATAAGGAACGCTTTGCCGGCCTGAGTTGGCGTGCGCAGCGCTTGATCCTGTGTGCCTCACTCATCTCGATTGCCCAGAGCACACCCATCATTTCGCAGCGCCGCGAGAACCGCGTTAAACTAGCCCGTCAGCTGGAAATCATTGTGCAGGATATCAAAAACCAAGAGTGAGTCCGCAAAGCCTTTATGCACGCGACCGTAATTCCATTGAGCTCCTTGCTTGCAGTCAAGTCGCCCCAGCACTCGAGGGTTGCTGCGAACAGATTCGGTCTTTCGTCAACAAGGCGTTGGAGCAGGAGAACATGCCAGCGATGAGTGATGCTGATCAGGCGGCACTCAAAAACCAGGTGCTTAAGCTCGCCAACAAGACTTCGCCAGTGCCCAGCCTAATGGGTGAGTTTCTGCGACCTAAAACTCTGACTTGCACTGCACCAACTTTCTAATACTAACCACTTGCCTATCCCTTGCAGCGAAGCGGCTGGATGGCTATGTGCGCGTGACCCTGCGCTCCAACGGCAGCATTCCGCCGCCTCCTGCGGGCTTCGTCGATTACCAGGAGGAGCTGGTCGCCTTTATCGCGTCATTCCGCCGCCTAGTGTCCTACAACCACGCTGTTTTCGGGGAGCACTTCCACCAGATCCTCGACAGCACAAGTGCCGCGCCGGAGTCCACTGCACCAACAGGCAGTGGAGTGACCACTGGCCAGGCCCAGACTGCCAAGCCCTAAAGAGGAGGGAGGAGATCGTCTTAGGCAATACAAAATATTAGCACACAACACCCAGACACACCCGTAGGCAACCGGAAGACGGAGGAGATCTGTTGCTGGACCACTGAAGCAACTCGAGTCGCGGACAGAACTCCCCCTGGAAAGGGAAACGAGCGTTGCTGGTGATTCCTCTTGCGACAGATGTTGACGCACACCCGTAATCACCATGTAGAACCAAACAGTCCAAGTGCCAATACCTGTATCCCCATTAAACACACAAAAGGGATTCGAGGCGGCTGAGTGAAAGGATTTTGCTGGGCGTCTGTGATAACGAGAATATTCAAATTGAAGTTGAAATCCTTCTTGGGGTTACGAAAGCGGACTCGACTATTTAAGCTCTCCAATTCCTTGTGACCAGCTGCAGATCGGTGATCAACCAACCACATTTTCAATTTACTCCTACAATAAACATTAGATTATCATAAACTGGTGTGTACCTAACCCCTTAACTAACTCTATAGCTTAACCACCTATAAAGGATATAAATAAAGTTGATGGATTTTACTAATGACAGCGGTGGTACGACTGCGTGAACCTTGAAAATGTAATGCAACTGGCAGACATGAATAAGATGTACTTTTACTTGTGTATGTATTTAATTGATATTTGAAATAAATAAACTTAAATTAAATAAATGAACTTTGGTCAGAAGCAAAAAAAAATATTCTTGCAACGAAATACAAGTCGATGTCTGAAAAAAGAAATCCACAAAAGTGGCCGTTTAGAAGTTAAAGTTTGAATTAAATTTGTTTAAATTTTTTTGAAATTATATTCTGTTATGTTTATTTAAAAAGGGAACGAAATGGAAAAGGAACGAAGAGTTGCCACACCAGAGGGATAAGGCGTTAAAGACCGGTAGATGGCGCCATCAGCCACGGTTTTATTTTTTTGAAAATAATGTTGCAGAATAAATAAGCTTACCTAGCTAATAATCTCATTCTTGTTCCATTTAAAAATTCCCTGTTCGAAATAAAATTCTCGTTTTTGGATACTATTGTTTCATAAAATTTCGATTTTATTTATGTCCTTATTTGGCTATCTTTGCTCAAGGCAACCCATTCAAGCGCAAATGTGGCAGAATGCCATCGATTTAAAATCCATATGACATGTAATCAATATCAGGGCCAGTTATACATTATCGAATTCCGATTCCCTCCTCAAATTGGAAAAAATAATGATTTAAGTGCTAATAAGTAATCAGAATGGGAATTCTGTCCAGGAATCGGTTCGAAATGGATTTTGCCTTTCGGTAAGCGAGTTAAGACGCTGATAAAGCGCCAAAGAGTCGCTACCCGATAAGATTACCCGCTTTTGTTATTACCTAACAGCTAATCGCTGAAGAGCTACTTTTTTAAATAGCCCAACTCGATTTGGTTCTTTTTCTAGTCGCATGATATCTAAGGTGAACCAGGAAAGTTGAAAGTTACTGTCTTAAGACATTTGTCTTTTTTAACATTTCTTAGTTACGTAACAAAAACAACCAGATTTGGGGGGTTTTGAATTGAATCAACGAAACTTTCGGTTCGGTATCCGTAAGCTCTTATCGTCACAAGACCATGGAAGATATATGTACATACCTATGTAGTTATCTTATCGATACACCCTACCCACATTTCCATTGGACCTACATGTCGACGCTGATTGACTGCCGAATATCAACGATAGAACCACATGGCCACAGGTAAATTGGAACAGCAAGGGGGAATAAATAGGTGATTAAAGTGGTTCAGAACAAATTGAGGCCGAGGCTTGATAGTTCTAGATTTGACCTTTAATAACTGGAATAACCTTGGTAATAAAAACACACCCCAAAATTATACGGTAGTATATTAGATCTTAGATCTTGTTAGATCTTTCACATTGTCATTATATCATTTCCTACTATGGATAAAATACAAAATCAAAAGAGTATATTGAACCGTTGTGGAGATGTGTACATATGTATGTACATTGCCTTAGAAAGGAGGGGAGAAATGCCGTTAAAAGCCGTTAAACCGTAGTGATAAGTATGTAATTACAGAAGGTCGCGTTAAATATGCACATATGCAAATATACGTAGATAAACATTTGTAAATGCAATTATGTTTATTTGCAGAGAAAGAAAAAGGAGAGCGGCCGGCAAAAAAGCATGTGAGTATTTTCACGTGCTGAGTAAAAGCGACGCAGACCTTTTACCGTTATTTCTGTCATGCTCTCTTTTGTCTCTTCATATTCTTCCCCGCTTTTCGGGGTAAATTTCCCCTGAATGCGGCGAATTCTTTAAAAACATAAACTGTTTTTATGCACCGTTCAGCTAATACACCACACCCCCAAGCGCAAAAGGTAGTCAAACAAAAAAGCTGCAATAGGTGTTATGATAAGAGTAATATTAATATACATACATATATACATACATACATACATATGTACACACATACAGACTTAGTAAACACATTAAAATCTGACTTTGCGCTTTAAATTTACCGAAAATGATCTATTTGTAGATGAGGTAAACGAAAGTTACTTGGAAGCCCTCTTTGTGATAATTGCCGAAAGGGAAACAACAAGGTGAAATACAAGGTTATAAGAAGGCTGGTTTAATTTTAAAATTTAATATTTTCTAGTTCAAACTTTAAAGCCTTTGAAAAACCCTTAACGCAGATTTCATTTTATTGTTTTTACGGTACATCAGCTGTGTATATTGGTGCGCACATGATGTGCATTGCAAACATATAGCAAAAACTTACATACATACATTAACATGTGCACTGATTCTGCGCTGTAAGTTAGTTTTTCCCACTTCACAGTGCTCTCTTTTTGCACCATGCCTTTCAGACACAAACTTTTTTTGCGCATACCTTGAAAGAATTTCAAAAAAAAAGTAATACTTTCAGAATAGCAAAGAAAAAAGTATTTAAGGCCGATATTTCCTTGTGTTACATATAAAGGCTTTTGACACTCCTTTAATACTTTTTCCATTTCCATAAAGCCATAAAATGGGGGCAATCGATCACTTCAAGTTATAAAGCAAGCGTGCTTGTTGCTCCACAATGTGAATGGACTAAGTGTTTGGCAAAGGGGGCTAAGAGCGAGAGAACGGCCTGAGCGACATAAAACGAAGAGAGAGCCCCAAAGAGAGACCTTCGATTTTTGCGTATAACCATATTTGGCATTGCATTTTCCCCAACTGCAGTTTATGTATGTATGTATGTATGTATATGTAAACGGCCTCTCTGCCCCTGCAACATAGACTCTCCCTCTCTTATTAAATAAGTGTACTGCTTTTAGCCGAGCGGTAGAGATAGAGAGACAGTCTAAATTAATAAAAATACATTTGAACTTGAACTTTCCTACTGTCGACACCCTCACCAAAAAAAAAAAAAAAAACTAACGACATGCAAAACAAAAAACAGTGAAAACACAAAATAAAATTGCTATGATATTATGTTATAAAAAATTTAACTTTAAAGCGCCTTAAAGCCATTTTGTCCCTACACCCAAAGAAAAAATTTTTCGTTAAGGACTTTAGTATGAGATGTGCGTGTACATATGAATCAAAATGCATGCATACATACATACATATGTACTGAATCATATCATGAGACGTCTCCTACCTGTTAAGGTCCCCTGAAGATGCGATTTGAATAATAATGCTTTTCGATCGCCTGCGAGGTGTATAATCATTTAACATTTCGATTTAAGCTACATTTGTCCACTTTTCCCTTTTATTTCCTCCTCTTTTGCGATCTGCGTTGTGAGCGGCATTCGTAATCGAATCCGTTTCCGTTTGAGTGACTGATCAGGTGTATGTATGTGTGTATAAAACTTATCTATACTTAGTATGGAGAAGAGCTTCCCCTGACAGTGGGCCCAAAACTCTGGCAAACTCCTCAGTTTTTGGTTGGGGCATGTGCCAATGCTCCTCAAGAAATTAGTCATGTTTTTGCAACCAACAGTTGCAAAGTAAGCCGTGTTTGAATTAATCAGTATCATTCTTTGGCTCTGTTTGAATCTTCCAAACTCTTTTTGATTTCATTCCAACGAATTCTCACAAATAGCGTAGTGCGTTAGGCAATTGACTTTATCGGGTGGTCCAGAATAGGCTCTTGAGTTATGCTATTCAATGCATTAGAATACCCCCATTAAGTTGTTGTGTATGCAGTGTATATGGGAGCATTCAACCCACTGTTTCTCTTAATCTTCGGGCACACATATGTATACATACTTATGTGCATATGTATGTATGTATAAACGATATATATTTTAGAGAATCCAGCTGTTTACGGAATTACTACCACCAGCAATCAGCAGGATATGAAAACCGAAGCACCACAATTAGCAACAGCTGACTTCATCCCCCTTGTCCCTTATCCACCACTCCGCGTTCAACTTACCACTGCACCACCGCACCACTGAAGCACCCATCCCACGAGCCACCACGTGGCGGCTGCCTGGGGTCCAAGGTTGAGCCTCTGCCGTGCGACCCCAATTTTGGCAAAGTAATCTTCACAGGCAGGCAGACATACATACATACATACATACATACATACATACATATGTAGGTATCCGCACATCTTCGAAAACTATCTAAAGCATACTAAGTTTACATTTATTTCTAGTTCATTATCATTGCCGTTTATTCAATGCAGAAAGCACTTTCCCTCTTTCCGGACATACACATGATGATCTTGGCATTGTAGATCCTCCCGCATAGCACTCCCCGTTCCTCCAGCACTCCGGTCATCCCGAAAGCAGAGCCCTAACGAACTCCCAACCCCGAGGTTTCCTGGCCTGCGCATTCCCGTTTGGGGTAGCAATTGTAACGGCACCCACCCTTGTATATCCTGTAGCTGCACAGGGTATACTGTACACCCTACCCTACCACAAACACACTCCACGTCCGGATGAATTCTTCCACTGCTGCATTTGTTTCCCTTTTTTCGTAAAAATTTCGCGAAAGGGACGCAGCACGTGCCACTTTCCCAACATTTGGGAAAAGTACGTAAACGAAAAAAAAAAAATCAAGAGTGCAAGTCCATGATGAGTCATACGCTTTGATTTGATTTTATTTGTATTACATTTTTGAGTTAAATTATACTTTTCGTTTTTGTTTTCTTTGCTTAAAATGAAATGGAAATGCAATTTGTTTCGGTCTGTTTCCAGTCTCCGAAAAGCGTGATGAGCGATGCACCCAGTAGAAACATATTTTTTTTTTTTTAATGAAATGGTTAAAAAAAAGACCCGGTAAATTTTACTCGTATTTGTCTGACTTTTTCCCTTGGGTGCGAGATTCCCAAAACGGTTGCCAATGAAGAATTACAGAATTTACATATGTACAGCGGTCACACTAAAACTTGACGATTAACAAGTCTCCAATTGGAGACCACTCTTCTCCATCTCCTTTCTCCTCCCACAAAGTGCAGCGGTCGGCCAACGGTACATATTATAGATATGTCAAAGCGACTTTCGTAAAAATTTGCCTAATAATTGAAACTAAATACAAAAAATATCATATCACATTGCTGTTGTTGCATTTCTTTTGGCGAGCGCTAACTGAAATTCTAATTAGCCAGTGAAAGTCAAGTTCGTCTTTCCCCTCCCCTCTTGCTTCAACTTGAACTTCTTTTGTGGCATCTTCCGCTGTCCGTTTTCTGTGAGTCAATAAACGAAAAATAACGCATTTTGCCGTTCAAAACTTACGGGAGATCCGGAGATACTCGTGCATATGTAAATGTCCGCCTGAAAAGGTTTCGATGGCCAGCGGCTTGTCGGTGGATTCGATAGATAGAGTTACCTAATAGGTCGCATAAGCCGCACAAGCTGGTAAGAATTATGCAAATCTCTAAATTGGAGTCTTGCTTTGAATGGATATGTGTGATTTCCCGGAAAAGCAAATCGGCGGATGCAACTCCATACAGAACGTACACATATGTCCCTCGAATGGGGCGCGAATGGGGCTTCCATTGGCTGTAGGGGTACGCCTACGATCCACGTATGCATGCTACCCTTTTATGGGCAACATTTTGAGTTTGAATTTCTCGAAAATAGTTCGTTACATTTCGGCACTCACACACACAGCAAACAACGTCGTCTGTTGAAAACAATTTCGTTTATTTGGACATTTGTTGCAAGTCTATTTTTGGGATAAAACCGATAAAAGCCTGCTTGCTTTTTTTGTTCGATTTAATTCAAATGCCAACGGCCAAAACAGGCCGCGACAGCTCAATGTCAATGGCTTCGGCTCGCACAGATATAGTATATACTGGGTATATATCTTTGTGTGTATGTATGCGTGCGCAGCTCGAACCCCAAATAAATTAAACGAATCAAATAAAAAATGCCAAAAACGTTGTTTGCCTGCTGTCCACTCTTTCACTTGGGTTTTGATGTCTTTTCGTTATTAATTCCGAAGTCATCCGAACTCCCAGATAAATGCGGACTTATTAATAGACTTTGCGAAAGTGAAAAGTCTAAGAAATTGCTGTTTATTTTTTTAAGTCATTAAGTTCCTAAAATTTTCAAGTGACTCTTTTTTACTGCCAGCTGGTAAACTCAAACAAAAACAATTGATTTGTTGTTAGTTTTTTAGTTCTGCTTCTATTTGAACTTTTTTGACTAGCGTGAGATTTACAAGAAGTATATTTATTTTTCATACTCTGAATAAGTTAACAATTCTGACCGATCGATCGATGGTTTTTTTTTATTTTGTTTTACTTTTTCCGCTTGAATGATATCTGAACTTGTTTGCAGCTTGTTTCTTCCGTTAGAAAAAAACTAGTTTTGCTTTCCATCGTATCTGTTATATTCTCTCATTTTATGCCCGTTACCTCTCAAAGGGGGACACTGTGTTTGTTAAATAATATGTAACAAGAGGAGTATCCACAATATTTTGCAATACTCATGCAGATTATAGCGCAGGATACGCAGCGGACAGTGATTTTGAAAATGTGCCACGCCCTTTGAAATTGTTCATCACATTAACGGGTATTTGGGAGTTGAGCCATTTCTCAATCGGTTTTTATTGCTTTTTCTTGGGTCCTAATCCTTCCTCTTTAAAATGTTAAACAGTTGTCCAGTTGTCCATATTTTCAAATCAGTTATTTACTTCGTTCTTGGTCAGTTCTTGACTTCTTGAACAATCGACAAACGGTTTTCGACGACCAGGGCCATTATCATCATTACGAACCCCACGACATTCATTGATTCTGGGGTGCTTGTGTGTTTTGATGCTAAGCGGTTCTCCAGATTAATTATTTATAATTTTTTCATCCGAAGCGGGATCCGGGTTATGGTTTTATTTTGCCATTTCTTGGGCTTACCGTTCGACCCATTTAAATTTTGCCTACTGTTGTTATTTCAGTGGGTTTTGTGTGTTTGTGGAACTTTTTTTCCTCTCGTCTTTATAGTATTTTGTTTATCTTTGGGTTTTGTTTCTTTTTCAAATGCAAATCAACGCCAATAAGTGTACTTTACGTTTCGGGTGCGATGAATCATTCAAAAAACATGGAATCGACTTTGAGATGGAGGGAAACCGAACGTGTGACTCACATATTGTAATTTATATTTATATCAGTCCAAAATATTGTAGAATGACTCGTACGTTTCTAGTAACTATTCACCTGCGTTTAGTTAGGAAATACGTTGGAAGATTACAAAACGCAATAAGAGGCTGAACTTGGTGTTGCGTCATTTAAACACTTAATACCCAAGATCGGTGATACCGATTTAGTTCTCTATGCTTTACTTTTCCTTACTTAGCTAACTTATCGCCCGAGCACATATACATATTTATTTTCCAGCCATATCAACAATTGAAAACAGTTTACGCACGTACATATATACTATATTATTATTTATTGGTTGTGGTAAATGGTAATGGTCTTACGTGTCCGTCAGTACCATAGTGTTTATGGGCTTGATAAGAAAGCATATGGCGCCAATGGAATCATACCCTCATGAAATGAGGAAAGAGAGGATAAGGGCTAGAGATGGTGATATGGGTTAAAATATCATGCGGGAGGCAAAATCGAAGCACTACAGCAATGTTCTGATAACTAAGTTGACTGCATAATTTATTGACCTTGCCGACAAATCTCAGGAAAAGTATTTAACGAGCTACTTAACTTTTCAATGCTCCTCAGTGGAATAAATTATAGAAATTCAAAAGGAAAAGCTAGGCTCGCCATTGTTTTTGAACTAAACTTTGGAGACTTTGGAGAAGCTTTGCAAAGGGTTGGCAGCACACGATTGCATGTCACACCCACTGGAAGAGGGCGGAGTGGGGCTCCCTATCTGCTTGGCGCAATCTGGGCCCAAGTACACCAGCGTAATGTTGAGGGTCCGATTCGCGGCCTCACGCAATGGCTATATCCGGATTCCGATGGACCTTGGGAGAAGGGGAGTATCGCTGGCGGGAATCTGGGCGTGACCCATCCTGGATGCACACACGTGTGCCACTACACACCCAAAAAATGGAAAAGTTAGGTTCACGTGCGCGCTTTTTAATTTGTGTAATTAGAATGGACAACCCCCCAAAGAGTGGGGTGGTATGAAACCCAACTAGGTTGAAGACACCATGGAGTGGTGTTCAAGGTTTTTGAGTTCAATTTGTTTATACTTTCTTAACAATGTCAGAGCACAGCATTTACCGAACTGCCGATTGAGTGAGGGATCGTACACAGTAGAGACTTTGGCTCCTTCCTCCTTCATTGTTTGTTTTCTAGTTGAACTTCCCAGTGGATGGCAGCAGACCGAAGCGGCCAACCCTGCGACACAAAAGACAGCAGACAACCCAGAACCTCTGTCCCGGAGGCAAACGCAATGGGAAGTGGGTGTGCGTCGACACAGTCGACGTGGGCCTACATACAACACGTTGTACTATATACAGATACGAGCTTGCCACATGAAAATGGTATAGAGATTTAATTAAAAACCACTGTGAGGTTGTAGTTTTTCGCAGCCCACATTCCTTGCCTGCTGGCTGTGTATTTGAATGCGCTATATAGAGAAGGCTGCCAAACTCACCGATCGAAACAAGTTTTTAATGGCATACTCAATCTAAAAAAAAATACATACATACATATATAGGAGGAACGCACTGTAAGCTCTACATATATAAATAATTTCTTTTAAGCATGCTTAGTAGTTAAAAATAAAAGATCTTGACTTAATCTGTGATCTGCTTAGATGCGTTTTTCTTTGTAGGCAGAAGCCGCCGTTTCGCACCCACTAAAACCGAGTGAAATCGCAGCACGCGAAAAACCCAAATGATATACGAATTAATTATTATCTATGACTTTCCCGCAGCGTCTGGCACTGTTCACTTTCAGACAGGTGGGCGCACCTGAGGCTCCGGGCGCAAATATGTCTGCGATGCAGTGCGATCTGCAATTAACGGAGCAATTAGCAGCAGTGAGGAATTCGTGGATCGAGCACTATTATATTAACATAAATTTGTGTTGGCATTTATATCACGAATCGTACAACTTACTAAAATTCGTACTGCAAGTAAACTGAAGCTTTTAGCCAGTCTACTTCTTCAGTTTTTTGAGTGAGATTTCCTAAACGTTTTTCACCTCACGGACCAACTAGCCGTCCAATGCCTTGGCTTTTCGGTTGCCTAACTCCCCCGACTTGAAACGCACGATCCAAGTTCACATATTTCTTACTTTTTCCATCGGCTCGGTGCACGCAAGCCAATTTAGAGGGCAATTGATGATTGTGTGTTTTTAATTGCGTTGCCGAGCCGAAATGGCCAAAAACGACTGGGTAAAAACACAAACTTGAAGTTGACCAAAAGCGGACTGCTGCAAATAAAAAGATAAAACGAAGCAGTGGCAACCCTGGCAGTGCGTGCATGTTAATGCCAACCACGATGAAAATTAATGGAAATGGAAGAAAACAAATTAATTGCGAAAAGTATACGAAAATTTGCACATTCAATGACCTTGACAATGGCTTTGGCCCAAGTCGCTTAACTTGTTTATTTTTTTTTTTTGCGTGTGTGTGAGTGTAGAAAACGTGACGAGTTACGTACTTTTGGAGAAAGGTCGTTGATCATGGCTACATGTTGCTTTTTTTAAGCGGTTTCAAAGTCAACATAAGCCCGCTGTTTTTGGCTGTTTAAGTATTTCTAGTTTCAATACCTCTCTCCCTCTGTCTCCACGAGCTCACTGACGCAAGGTTAATAATACCAAAGCCGTTGGCCCGGGGAAATTTCTTCGATTTTTTCCGTCGCCTTGCCAAAATAAAATCAAAAACTGCCGAGCAACGAACTTGAGAAGAGCAAATAAGGCCAACACCAGGAATATAATATAGATGGTTTTGGTTAAAATGTACATTGTATGTGTAGATATGTACATACATAGATACATAAATTTGATTTTAGAATTGTAAATAATTTCTAGTATACAAATAATAATCTTGGAATGGATAACTATTTGATCTGTTGCAAAATCGATGCAAACTAAGCTCATTTGGAGTAATTCGGAACCGGGTGGGAATCCATCAGTGTGCAACCTATTAATTCTCGGGTATACGTACATACATAGATACGTACACATACATATGCACACAGTATAAACATGTTTTTTACCGTTAGCAAATTTCAAAGACTCGTCTAGAAGATAAGATAATGTACTCGCTATCTTTTTTTTTTAAAGAAACCCCGAAATATGGATGAAGAATTTAGCGATGACGTCGACACTGGTTTTCTACCCAAAATTATGGAAATTGAATTTTTCATGATATTAATTTATAGATCTTGATGATCATCAATAAAAAAAAAACAAACATTTACGAAACCGAATTAGACTTTTCCTTTATTAGTAACATTTACGTTCCCAGCTTCCTAAATAATAACAAAATATAAAAAAAAAGATGTTGGGTAGGGGAAAGGAGGCGCGGGGAGTTGTGGCTGGGCGCGACGTCACGAACGTTGGAGCCACTCCTTTGGCAATGTGTGTGTCTTTTTTGTTTTCTTGTTATGCGGAGCTCTCTCTAGCTCGATCTCGCTCTTGCCTTCGCATGCTTATCGCCCCGTATGTTGCCGTTTCCTTTTATGCGTCACTTTGACTTAAAATAGGCAATTATTTAAACAAAGATTAGTCAACGAAAACGCGCAAATAAATACGTATAAATGTGTTTTGTTACATATTGCCTTGCTCGTTCAGCCAACAATAACAACAATGAACGGCTTTCCCTCTTTCACTTTTTGTTTTGTAAAACAAGTGCGAGTGAGACGGCAAAACCGGCGAACGCGAATTAAGTACGTTAACAAACATTTTCAATCTGCTGAAAAATATCGGTTCAACTGAAATCAATGCATTTGCCATACCAACTGTGAATACCAGGCAATATTTTGTACATTGTTTATTTCCCGGCTCGGAATAAAAAAAAAAAACAAAAATGGCGAGTGCCATGAATCGCGGGTTATCAAAAAAAAAAAAAAAAAAACAACAACGTGCACTGAGTCACTGTCGCAAGTCAGAGCGAGAGCAAGAGAGCAGCCCCCACTTACACTCTGAGTGCGTGTGTGTGATTAGAGCGTCCGTCTTCGATGCGCAAGCGCGTCACTTACATTGATAAAAACTCAGCTTGTTAAATGGTACATAAAATTATAAATATATTAAAATTATCTATTTATGTATATTATTTTTATCATATATACATATATACAATTTATTTCAACATACATTACTTGGTAAGTAAAATTTCGGTGTACTGAAATTATTGTGAGTGAGAATGTTTATATCGATATTTTTAATTTAAATGAAACTTCGAGCTAGTAACGTTTCTTGCTTTTACACATCAAACAACTATATAAAACAGTAGCTAGAATATAAGAATATATTTATTAAGCATTCAGGTCAAATGTTATACGCTTAAATTCTTTTTTAAAGGATATTTATATTTCTTTCTATGTAATTTACTCTCGTCTGGCAGATGCTTCGCCGTTATTATTCAAAACCGGCTTGCAGCTTTTAAAAAATAAATTGGACTACCGAATACTCTACACTCTACTCAAAAATGTGGAGCAGTTAACGCGTGTGGTTTAAACTAAACAAATTTGAAAATTATATTTTTAGATAAATACATAGTTCCTACTTTAATATTCAATGTATTAGAACTATTGATTATTTAAGTTAAGTCATAGTCAGGTACGTTTTGTAAGTCTCAATAATCATCCTTAAGTTACGTGATTTCCTAATAATGACTAGTTACAAAAATATTTGCCAAAGTATGGTGACCATCCAGTTCTTTTTCATAATACGAAGATAAGAAATATTGAGTGGTCATGAGTAATGCCCCGAATCATAGGACTCTGAAAACTACTCTGCACCACTCCAAAACCTCGAGGCATACATATGTATGTATGTATGTACATAGACACACACACCCAGTTGCTCTTCAGCGAGGGAAATTCTCCGAAAACGAGTCGCGGCGAACAATTCATACCCATATATGGTAAAAGTTTCGGTCTCGACTTGGAGAGAGAAGAGCGCTGATAAGGTCTTAGCGCCAAGCGGCCTTTATAAAACGGGCCTCGAGACCAGTTTTCCTATCACTACCGTTTGAGTTTTTGCTGTGTGGATACCTTCCCGACAAGCCGCTCCATCAGCCAGTCGTCTATCCAGAGACAAACCGAAAGACTAATTTATATTTATTTAATTTTAATATAACACACCAAATGTAAGTACCCAGACCAACACCATCGTCCCACAAAAAATTCGACTGAAGCAATGGAAAATGTGTTTTTTTTTACAAAACAATAATTTTTTTATGTGCCTGTGCTAAATGTGATTTAAAAACGAACCTTGAGTAGAGGGAGTTTTTGTGGTGCCCAAAACTATAACATTGGTAGTCAAAATTGCGAAACTACGAAATCTTAAAAGTCAGCAGACTAGGAAAATACAGTTTCCAAGGTATTCTTCCATCAAGAACCAAAAATTAAAAGCGAAACCAAAAGAGTTAAAACAAAGTTTGTCAGCACCTACAGCTAAAGCTATAAATACAGTGAAAAAATTGCAAGAATTTTGGGCTTCTGTGAGCCTTTATGCTAGTGGGCGTTTCCCGACTTAACGCAAATAAGGTTTCGAATTTTCAAGTCTCTTTCTGTTTCCCACGCCCGGCGAAACCGATCATTTATATGTATATGTTTGTTCAAATTTTGTATAAACGTTACACCCATATTTAGTTCTATTGCTCGAAACCGGTGACGTAGGAAGTCGTTTCGGCTTAAAGAGAATTTATTTTTGCCGGTTTTCAAACCCTCGGTCAGTCAGTTGCAAAAATGGAGAAAACCACACTGTTGTATATGCATATGTATGTATGTGTGCGAGAGAGCAAGAGCAGTCGACTTGCTTTTTCGCCTCGAAACATGACCATATATGGTCACAAAAGTTGGCATCGAAACTCAACACTAGAGCGCTCTCTGTCGCACCAATGCTAAAAGACGAAGAGTGAGCGAGATAGACTGTTGAGCGACGCCGATGTCAACGCGTCGAAAATGCAGTTAACTGGAATTCGCTGCTCACCGTCTTCTTCGAGACTGTTCGTTCCGTGGTGCTCACTTCGGTTTGCTGAGAGAATTTCCCCGTCTGCTTTAAACCGTTGGAGTAAACTGTTCAGCAGTTCGGAGAAAGCGCCTATAGCGAATAAAACAGACTGCCAAATCCGTTAACTCTTGATTTATTCTTTACAAACCATCGGTTTTCTCTTGAATTTGTTTAACAAAAGGTTGTCTTTGATTGGTAGTCTTCAATTCTAAGGCACATATAACTAACATTTAGTGGTGTGTCTTTCTTTTACCGGCAAATAACCATTTTTTTTTTTAACTTTTAAAGATAAAATAAGTTTAAAAAAAATTTTAACAATTCGAAAACCACATTTTTCTGGGCGCTATTAAGTAGAATTTTTATTTAAAATATTCCAAAAGAGTCGGTTGTTCCAGTTGAAGCCTTCTAACATTTAATATTTATTTAAATAGATATTGAATGTGGTTTATCACAGAACATTTTTGCTACAAGACAGTGATATCTAACGGACTCTTTTCTCTTCCGTTTTAGCTTACAAAATGTGTGACGAAGAAGTTGCTGCTCTGGTTGTCGACAACGGCTCTGGCATGTGCAAGGCCGGTTTTGCCGGTGACGATGCGCCCCGCGCCGTCTTCCCATCAATTGTGGGCCGTCCGCGCCACCAGGGCGTGATGGTCGGCATGGGCCAGAAGGACTCGTACGTGGGTGATGAGGCCCAGAGCAAGCGTGGTATCCTCACCCTGAAGTACCCCATTGAGCACGGTATTGTGACCAACTGGGATGATATGGAGAAGATCTGGCACCACACCTTCTACAATGAGCTGCGTGTGGCCCCCGAGGAGCACCCCGTGCTGCTGACTGAGGCCCCCCTGAACCCGAAGGCCAACCGTGAGAAGATGACACAGATCATGTTCGAGACCTTCAACACACCCGCCATGTATGTGGCCATCCAGGCCGTGCTGTCGCTGTACGCCTCTGGACGTACCACCGGTATTGTGCTGGATTCCGGCGATGGTGTCTCCCACACCGTGCCCATCTACGAGGGTTATGCCTTGCCCCATGCCATCCTGCGTCTGGACTTGGCCGGTCGTGATCTGACCGACTACCTGATGAAGATCCTGACTGAGCGTGGCTACTCGTTCACCACCACCGCTGAGCGTGAGATTGTGCGTGACATCAAGGAGAAGTTGTGCTACGTCGCTCTGGACTTCGAGCAGGAGATGGCCACCGCTGCCAGCAGCTCCTCGCTGGAGAAATCCTATGAGCTGCCCGACGGACAGGTGATCACCATTGGCAACGAGCGTTTCCGCTGCCCAGAGGCCCTGTTCCAGCCCTCGTTCTTGGGAATGGAGGCGTGCGGCATCCACGAGACTACCTACAACTCGATCATGAAGTGCGATGTTGATATCCGTAAGGATCTGTATGCCAACACTGTGTTGTCTGGTGGCACCACCATGTACCCTGGCATTGCCGACCGCATGCAGAAGGAGATCACCGCGCTGGCCCCGTCGACCATGAAGATCAAGATCATCGCCCCGCCAGAGCGCAAGTACTCTGTCTGGATCGGTGGTTCCATTCTCGCCTCGCTGTCGACCTTCCAGCAGATGTGGATCTCCAAGCAGGAGTACGACGAGTCTGGCCCATCCATTGTGCACCGCAAGTGCTTCTAAAAAGGATCGGTATTAGGAGGAGGGGCGCCAGAAGGAGGGAGAACAGGAGCATTGTGATCCTGATCTGGAGGAGGAGAAGTCAAGGAAGCAGCAGCAGCGGAAGTGCAAGTGCGAGTGGTGGATGTTTGGAATGCAGTGCAGCACAACACCAAGGTGAAAAAGGGCGGAACCACCCCTGCATCAACCATCGTCATCGTAATCATCTTTTCGAGCGCGTCTTGTGTGGTTCCAGCGTATTAATTTAAATAATTTATTCCACTTGAGATATGATATACTATGTATTTTTTGTTTTTTTTTTATTTGTATACCTTTAATATAACAAAAGAAAACTACAAACAAAATGAAAACAAGCGAAAAATATTCTGCCATTCCACAAACACACACCCCAACACACGCACATACACATACACACACACACTCACACCTGCGGCATATGACAAGGACATCAAGATTGAGAAGAAGATATTCCCCAAAGCGTAAAAAGAACACACATTGCAAAACACAAACAATACACTAGAGTTTTGTACAATTCGTCAGCAACCTTATGTATTATTTTTTAATTATGATGTAAATTTAAACAAAGTGAAACAAAAATATGAAAAAAGGAAAATCAAAACTACTGTCTTCTATTTCTTTCCTCAAATCTATCTATCTTCCTCTTGCCTTCTGCTGCGCTCTCGCTCTTGCTCCCCCTTCTTTCGGCCTTGTTTGCCGGCCGGCAAATCATCCACACATTTGGCTGCAGTTTCGCGTGCGATATTCACACATATACCATCATACGAGCATATAATGTATTTTTTTTCTTTGTACACTTTTTCTAATTGCATGCGTATCAAATAAGTTTACGCCCGAAAATGTTAATTAAAATGTGAAAATGCAACTGAAAATAATGAAACAAAACCACTCTGAGAGAGAGAAGTTGGAACACCAAGTACCGTTGCAACGGCTATTTATGGGGAATGGGAAGGTGCGAGTGAGCTAAGCTATATAAGCTATTTGAGGATCAGCAGTTCTCTAATGATGCGATTAAGTTGCCGTTTTAAGTGGCTTACATTCGACCAAAAACGAAGTTAACAAGCCAAACGCGCAACACAAATAGCTGACATACTTTTTAAGTGGAGGCTTCAATCGCCTCAATCGTTTTTCCGGTTTTCTCAACGGTTTTGCACTAATGGGGATGGCGGACAAAGAGGAGCACGAGCACCCATCTCCCGTTTGGCCATTTCCAGACACGTAAATGGTACTCTTAAAGAAACCATTTAGAAGTTGGTCTTTGAGTAAAAATAAATGAATAAACAATGGCTCTAAACACAAGTACAATTTTAGGTTCCCTGATACTCTAGAATTTTTTGGATTCAAAAACGCCATAATCTGTAATTTGAAGGACTGTCATTAGTTGTTCGACTTAAATTAATTTTAGTTTTAAATTTGTGTTTTTTATGTGAGCCAAATGAGCTGCCAAAAGTGTTCAAGCAACCTGGTGTTTATATGGCATTGTATACGCTTACAAAGTAAGTTGAATATTCAGCAACGTGATGCCCCTTAGCGAAAGGTCGGCGGTCGGCGGTCGGATTTAAATATTGCCTCCATGAGTCTGCCGTACTTCGCACAGAACCTCTTGGTACAGCGATATATGCGGAGTGGAGTGCACCAACTACATAGGGAACCCGATCGAAAATGACTATCCCGGAAGCTTTCAAGGACCAGGAGATCTTTGTGACAGGCGCCTCGGGTGTGTTCCATTCGTATAATATAATCTAGAATTTGCAATGCTCAAAGTGTCTGATTTTTTCGCCACCCTTGTCCAGGCTTCGTGGGCAAGGCCCTGATTGAGAAACTACTGCGCTCCTGTCCAGATGTGGGTCGTATTTACGTGCTGATGCGCCCCAAAAAGGGCCACTCCATCGAGGAGCGCCTCCAGCTCCAGTGGGAGACGAGGCTGTACGAGCGTTTGCGGAGGGAGCAGCCCGATGCCCGGTCCAAGTTGGTGGCCATAGCCGGGGACGTCGAGCAGTTGGGCTTGGGAATCGGGGATGCGGATCTGAAGCGGTTGCTCAATGTCAACATTGTCTACCACTCGGCGGCAAGTGTGCGGTACGTTAACCACAGCTTAAGGTAGTAGGAATTAAATTAGGGGAGATCTTTGTGGTGGTTTTCCAGCTTTGATGATGCCCTGCGCACCGCCATTCTCTTGAATACCCGCGGCACCCACGAGCTGGTCAAGCTGGCTCTGCAGTGGCGCAAACTCAAGGCGTTCGTCCATGTGTCCACCACCTACTCGAATCCGGGAGTGCTGGAAGTGGAGGAGCGCGTCTACCCGCCGCTGGCCGATTGGCGCACCACCATAAAACTGGCGGAGACCTACGATGAGGAGACGCTAGATATCTTCAATCTCAAGTGAGTTACTGAAGGGTTGACTCAATCAAACGTCTTTATATGAATATGTATTTCAGGTATGGTAATTTTCAACCCAATACGTACACCTTTACAAAAAGTTTAGCAGAGCAAGTGGTCAACGAATACAGAGATCGGTTGCCAATCTTCATCTTCAGACCGTCCATTGGTGAGATTTCTGAATGGTAATGTGATTCTGTTACATTTATTGGGCATCCCAAACTGTTACAGTGGTCTCTACAATTGAGGAACCCATGCCCGGGTGGGCTGATAACTTCAACGGACCCACTGGCCTCCTGGTGGCCTGCGGAGTGGGCATTTTGCGGTCCCAAAACTGTGATCCCAACATTGTGGCCGACTTCGTGCCCGCCGACATTGTGGCTCGCACGCTGATCACATCGGTGTTCAAGTTCATGACGGAGCCGAAGCCAGGGAGCACGGATGGGGAGCTGTACGTGGTCAACTGTGCGACCGCCAACATATCCCCAATCACCATGGGCGAGGTGATCGAGATCGGGAAGACGTTCATAAGGAAGAATCCCTTCGAGAAGACCCTTTGGCTGCCAGGCGGTGGAATGACGACCTGCCCCGTGTTGCACTTTGTACGGGTACGTAACTCTGGGATATATATATCCTACAATCGAATCTGTGCAAGGGTATCAATGAGTAAAATATCTTAAATGAATTCCAGTTCTGCACCATGCACCTGTTGATGGCAGTCGTGGTGGACACTTTGCTCCGCCTCTATAATGAGAAGCCTTTGTAAGTGGCTCTGGACCTTCATATGGACCTCCCTTGATTGATTTTCTCTGTTTTTCAGTCTCATGAAGCTGCAACGACGTATTTTCGCGGCCTTTAGTGCGTTGCAGGTTTTTGCAATGACAGAGTGGCATTTTCAGAACGCGAATTTCCGAGCATTACACGACATAGTTCCGCCCAAAGAAGTGTAAGTCCCTTTTGCGCTTAACACACATGTGTAATTAATCATCTTGCAATTTTAATAATATATATAATTTTTAGGTCGACCTTTGGCTTTATGCAGCACGCAAATATAAACTATACGGAATTTTTCCAGCATGGCATCCGGGGTGCCAAAGAATTTCTTTTGAAGGAAAGTCCCGAAAGTAGCAGCGCAGCCCGTTTCCGCGTGAAGATCTTCTACATTCTGGACTTCCTGTTCCGGGGCATCGTTTATAGCTTCCTGCTGCGCGTAATATTTCGATTTTTAGTAAGCTTGTGGTAGCAGAGCACTTTATAAATATTCAAACTGTAATGACATATTTTAATTATGTTTCCCTAACGATTGTAACGCTTGTACGAGTATGTACATTACCTAAATAAGAGGATTTCTTGGAGTTCCATGTTCTTGCGCTGATTTTTACATAAATAGCAAGAGAAAATATAATATGCTAAGTACCACTAAGAATCAGGGATTAAATGTGTTTTCTGGCCGAGCTGAACATTATTTCTATTGCAACCATTACATTTTCTGGTTTTAAAATTTCCCGCCTTTCCTTGCCGACCTGGCAAGGCTACCACGCGCTATCTGGTGGCCCGAGTGGCATCACTCTGGGTGGCAGCCCTGCGCAGAGCTGCACCGAAATTGGCAAAAAACAAAATGGAGGCGTATAATATTTTTGTTTGGCATAGAACATAAAATTCGTATCCGTGTGTGCAAGAAGAACCGTAAACAAACGGCGTGCAGCGGAGAAACAAAAAGTGCGGTCGGTTTTTGGCAAGCGATCGGTATCCGCTGAAGGGGCCTACAAAGCTCTGCGTTTAAGGGAACGCCAAAACCCGGAGGAGTTCCATATTCGCCACTTTTTTGGTGGGCGCTTCCACTGCGGGCAGCTTCCCCCGGGAAACCGCTAATTGGATTGGATTAGATTGGACTGGAAAGCGAACGAGGGAGAGAGAGGGCGGGCACAGGGGGGCTCGAACAGGACGCCGCGATGGCCACCACCCAGCAGTACTCGCTGCGGTGGAACAACTACCTGCGCCACCTCACCTATTCCTTGGACAACCACCGGCTGAACGACGACTTCGTGGACGTGAGTCTCTGTGTAGATGGGCGCAGGATCAAGGCCCACAAGGTGGTGCTCTCTTCCTGCTCGTCATACTTCAAAGAGATCTTCAAGGAGAACCCCCACCCGCATCCAGTCATTATCTTTAAGTTCATCAAGTTTGAGGATCTCAACTCTATCATCGAGTTCATGTACCAGGTGGGTAGCCAGATACCCGTGGAAACGAAGCCGCACAAGTGGGGCTTTTGTTTGCCTTAAAAACGAACAAGTTAAATAAGGCTGTGGAATCTAGCCTTCCAATTAGTACTCTAAAAACTAAAAACAGAAAAAAACCGCATCTAAAGAGTTATTTTATGTTCTTCTTTTTGTGTGTATTTGTTTTAAAATTGTGCGACATGTTATATATACTCCAGAGACCATATAATGATTTTGATTTGTTTTCCAGGGCGAAGTAAATGTGCAGCAGGAGGCGTTGCAGTCTTTCCTGCAGACCGCTGAGCTTCTGGCCGTCCAGGGACTCACCGCCGAGGAGAAGGAGAAGCCACAGCTCCCGGTGGCGCCACTTATTAGCGAGCACAAGCTGATCAAGACCATACCAAGCACTATTCGCGCGGTCAACGAGCAGCAGCAGCAACAGCAGCAGGTTGCCAATGTGCCCCAGGCGCAGTCGGCCACGCAAACCATCGAAATACCCACGGCCACGTTGCTGCAGGCAACCACCGCCAGCCAGGTGCAATCGCAGGTGGTTGCAGCTGCCGCAGCAGCCGCGCAGCAGCTGCAGGTCCAGCAGCAACAGCAGCAGCAGCACCACCACCATCACGGACAAACCACCCAGATCCAGCACATTCAAGTGCAATCTGCACCGCCCCCGCAGCAACAGCAGCAGCAGCAATCGCAACAGCAACAGCAGCAGACGACGCCCGTGCAAACGCAACACCTGACCATCACCAACGCGGTGGCCCTGCCGACGGCAAGTTCGGTCAAGAAGCGCAAGATCACCTTCTCCGACGACGACGACAACATCTACACCACCGAAACCGTCGACTACGCCGTCAAGGATGAGCAGACCATTGTGAAAAGTAAGTCTCCCTACTTAATTGAAGGAGGAATGCATACACAGCAGGTTTTTATTTATATTACATATATTAATAAAAAATCGATTTCCTTACTTAGCTGCCGAGATGACATTCCTGCGCGGCGCCGTCAAGATGGACATACCCGACTACATCGTGGGCGAAGTGGACGATCGCCTTTCGGACGGAGCCACGCCCCAGACGTCGCAGGATGCCACCACCGCAGCGGCCCAGAATGTGGCCCAGTATTCCTCCGAGTACGAGATACTTACCGAGTCGGAAATGGAGGAGAAGTACCAGGCGGATGCGGACAACGCCGAAATTGCCATTGAAATGAGTGGGTATCCAATGTTTAGTTGCGGCCAAATTAATTGGACTAATTATTACATTTTTGAAACTATTCTAGCCGGATTGCTGGGCGCCGGCAGCGGGACGACGGGAGCGAACTCCAGCCAAGTAATGGAGGATGCGGGCGGTGGCGGTACGACGACTGGTTCCTCGACCACGCTGTCAGTGACTCCAGTAAATAAATCGGATAGCAAGGCCAGCGGGACAAATGGTAAGTTCCGAATGTACAATATAGGCAGTGCGAATAGTGCAATTGATACTTTCGAGTGCTCTTCAGTTCAATTTCGTGGTTAAACTAGTTATTATAAGTAATACAAATGCAAAAGCTGCAAGTCTTTGGTTTATGTGCGTAATATTTTTGATCCTGCAATGATTTGTAGCACAGTAGAATACCGATTATCCGGATCAATTAAGTTATATTATGAAGATATCTTCATTTTGTCTTTAAGAGACAACACTACTCTTTTTCGCTTGGACATTTTAAATTTCCAACACAAAACGTAAACATAAAATGAAAGACAACCTTTCAGTTAAACGCTTTAATTGAAAATGAATGAGTCCGGATAATCGGATGTTCGGATAATCGGATGTTCGGATAATCGGATGTTCGGATAATCGGATGTTCGGATAATCGGGATTCTACTGTACTTTAAATGTAAACTGATTACTTTTTGGTACTACTTTAAAGATAAAAGCTGCAGAAGATCAGGCACAATCCTTGCTTTAAATAAATATTCTAATAAAACTAATCGTAAAAGGGCATTTGTAGCCACTGAATGAATTAAATAAAAAACACAAAAACCAGTTGAACTTGTTGGTAAATGAAGAGCTATCGTTGATGTTATATTATGTGTTTACTTTCTTTTTATCCACATTTCGTTTATGAGGAAGGTTTATATTTTGATGTGTACTCTAGAAGTTACCTTTTATTCTTTATTTGAAATGATCTCTTTATTTACCCATTCGTTGTTGTGTTGTGGTTGTCGAATATGTCTCCAAAATGGTGCTCTGCCAAGAAATAAAAGGGAAATAGGGAGCTGCGCAATCGATCGATAGAGACTGTTATATTGATTGAACCTATTTTCTGTATATTTTTAGATTCGCCCAATAATAAGTGGACAGAATGTCAGTTTTGCAAAATGGTTATAACCACGGTCAATCTTTGGAGACATATTCGCACCCAACACACCCCACAGCCGCCGCGCAAGTGCGACCTGTGCAATAAGAATTTCAAGAACAAGTACAGCCTGCGCGAGCACATACGCATCTCCCACGAGCAGAAAGTAGCCATTAAGACGGAGAACTGATGCGTGGTCATCAGCGTCAACCGGCTCCTGGCCGGCGTCGAAATTGGCTCAGGGTCGGAGCGATAAGTGGAAGGAAGGAATAGTTAATGACGTCCAGCTTAGCGAGAAGCCAGCCAGCCAACCAACCTATTCTACCCTATCCTATCAAGGTCCCCGAACACTAGCCAAAATTGTCAACTCAAATGCAAAGCAAAACAATTACGGCGCGTTACTCTCACCGTCGAATAGCCCTCGGTGTTTAGCCCTCGTGTAGTTCCACTTACGATTACGACTCCTTAGCAGACACAGTCTTTCGGTCCGGTCCATCGGTCGCAGAGTAGAGCTGGTAATCCCCTCGCCGACCAAGCCGTGCCATGTATCCACCACTGTGTGTACTATCTACATGCACCACTTGTATTTTAGTCCAACACCTGCTTTAGATACTTATTTTCCGTAAAGACAGAGTACAAGCCATTAGCAATCGTTGATACACACATTTATGTATATATATGCACAAACACCCGACACAACACATCGATCTTAATAGAAGGAGTAAACCTATATCACGGGAAGAGCTCACAAGGAATTAAGTTGGTTATAGAACACCTAAGTTAAATGTAAATCAAAATTGATCGCGTTAATTTACTCCTAAAGAGCCCGCATAGTTGCGGGACCTAAAATGTATTCCCCTCTCGAAACATTTACATTTTAGTATATCTTGTATATAGAACTGGGTGACTTAACAACCTCGTAGGTGTTCCCCCGAAGAGATTCTTTGCCCGATTTCATTTCCGATCAAGCTCTGTTCTTTGCTTAGAGAAAGAGAAACCCAAAATCCAAACCCATTTGTGTACAAATTTAAATAGTATAAAACCGCAACAACCCAGCGTGCTTTTTGGCCATCTGTGTTCAGCATCAGAGCGTTGGCAGTTGAATGTAAATTAGCTAAATTAGTTATAGTTTAGTTTAAGCCTTGCAGTTCGATCGGACGTAGTTTAGTTTTGGTATGTAACCTAGTTGATTAGTCCACACGAGCCAAGTGAAAACGGAAGTCATAGCGTGTACAATAGTATTAGACTAAAGTATTTTCCAAAAACAAAGGAACAAACCCTTTAGACATCCTCTAAGACAAACTCAAAACTCATACACGGATACACACTAAAGATAATATAGTTAAATCAAACAACTTATACGTATTACTTATCGATCCACATACTGATCTATGTACGAGTATGCATATATAGTTAATGTTATAAATCTAAATGCCCGATGTGCGGATTGCATCCGTTTTTCCTCCTCGGCCGTAATCGTCCTTGAAAACCCACCACCACCCCCAAACACTTTCCCCAGCCATTGCTTAGGATCCTGAGGAAAAGAAAAACTAACGAAACAGAAAAGAAAACAACGTTTGTTTACGGCTGATGTGAAGTTTCTGGTCAACCCGGTCAGGTGGGCATTAACTAGTCCAGATGCACCAGCCTAGACTCGAACGATTACGAGTATTGCAGAAGATTTCGATACCGATTCCGATTTCGATAGATTGATTAACTCAACCAACGAACGAATCAAATTAAATCATCGGATAACGGGAAACAGAAGGGGACAGGTTCAAGCAGAAGAGCAAAAAGAAAAGAGAGGGAGAATAAAAGAATACGTGTAAACCATTTAAACTCCAGCCTTGTTCTTCTTCTTCTTCTCAATGGGTCTTACATATTGGGGAAGGGATCACCGAATGCTCGCACTTCGATTAACAAGCAACGTACTTTCAGTGGCCATGAAACAGGAGCCGGGATCCGAAGCTGCTCGTGGACCAGGAGCTCCTGAGGCTCGACGCACCGCCTCCGCCGCAGCAGCCGGAAGCGATGAGGAGAACGGGCAGGACATCGGGATCGCTCCACTGAGCTGCAGCTTCTGCTGCAGACACCTCAAGTCGGTGAACGCGCTGCGGCGGCACATCGCCTCCAGGCACTCGGAGATCCAGGGCAGGGAGCACGAGTGCTTCATCTGCATGAAGAGCTTCAAGACCAAGTGGTCCCTGTCCACCCACAACTCCCGCTTCCACCGCGAGATGGGCTGCTCCAGCAAGGGCTTCACCAAGATCCAATACACCGACCACTAACTCGAGGTACGCCACAAATACATAAATTAAGCGAGATGATTGTTGTTGTTATAAATTTAAATTGCAAGCGATTGCTTTTCCGATTCGGAAATCCTTGGGGGACATTCACAGAGTTATCTCTAGTTATCTTTAAAATAGTAAGCGATTAGGAGCACCTATTAAGACCTAATCACTGTTGTTTATTTGTGCCCATAGGTGTGCTGTTTTAGGTAGCAAGAAGTTTTAAGCAGCTCTCATTTGGTGGTTAAATATATTTTTCAAAGTCTGACTTTATCCTGTGAAGATTTTGTAGTTGATGGACATCCTTGGGACATCCTTAGGACATCCACCTCGCCCGGACAAAGACGCAGAAGTAGTTAAAGACTTAGTTACTAGCATTTTATTGGTACTTTCGAGGGTGCACGTAAAAAGGGCAGTTAAAAAGTGTGGAGCGGGTTCCTAGAGGGTCTCCAAGCCGGGCAGCGGGAACTTCCTGCTGAACTGGGCCACGGACTGGCGGAGCTCCTCCACCTGGGCCTTGATCTCCGCGTTCTCGGCCAGCGTCTTGTGGTAGTCGGCCAGCTTGGGACTGGCGGCCAGCTTGGCGGCCTGGGCGCCCGCCTTGAGTGCGGCGTCGATGAAGGCCACCACCTGCTCGATGTCCTTCGCGACCAGGCCGCGAGTGGTCAGGGCGGGCGTGCCCAGCCGGATGCCCGAGGGGTTCAGGGCCGACTTGTCCCCGGGCACGGTGTTCTTGTTGCAGGCGATGCCCACCTCCTCCAGGACGTACTCCGCCTTGGCGCCGGTGAGGCCCGCCTTGCGGACATCCACCAGCACCAGGTGGACGTCGGTGCCGCCGGTGGCCACCTGGTAGCCGCGCGAGATGAGGCCGTCGCAGAGGACCTTGGCGTTGGCGAGCACCTGCGTCTGGTAGGCCTTGAACTGCTCGGTCTTGGCCTGCCGGAAGGCAGTGGCGATCCCGGCCACGGCGTTGTTGTGGGGCCCGCCTTGGAGCGAGGGGAACACCGCCTGGTTGATGCGCTCCTCCAGGTCGTAGAGCACCTTCTCGCCGCTGGCCTTGGTGCTGCGCACGCCCTTGCGGAAGAAGATCACCCCGGCGCGCGGCCCCCGGAGCGTCTTGTGCGTGGTGGTGGTCACGATGTCGGCGTACTCGAACGGCGAGGGAATCAGTCCCGCGGCCACGATGCCCGCCACGTGGGCCATGTCCGCCATCAGGTAGGCGCCCACGTCGTCGCAGATCTGGCGGAACCGGGCGTAGTCCAGCAGCCTGGAGTAGCACGAGATGCCGGCAATGATGATCTGCGGCCGGAACGTCTTGGCCGCCTCCGCCAGCTTGTCGTAGTCGATGATGCCCGTCGCCGGGTTCACCTTGTAGGGCATGCTCTCGAAGAAGATCGACGTGGCCGATATCTTCTTGGTGGGCGTGAAGAAGCCGTGCGTCAGGTGTCCGCCGTCGGGCAGGTCCAGTCCCATGATCCTGTCGTGGGGTCGGCACACGCCGGTGTAGACGGCCAGGTTGGCCGGGGATCCGGAGTACGGCTGCACGTTGACGCCCCACTTGTCCTCGTCCAGGTTGAAGAGCTCGCGACCGCGTTTCTGGGCCAACAGCTCCACGCAGTCGACGAACTCGTTGCCGCCGTAGTATCTGCCAGTGGGAAAATGAACCGGGGGTTACTTTGTGTTCCAACCAGAACTCCTATTGCGACTCACCGCTTGCCGGGATAACCCTCGGAGTACTTGTTGGTGAGGCAGGAGCTCAGGCTCTCCAGGACGGCCACCGAGGTGAAGTTCTCGCTGGCGATCATCTCGAGGCCCTCGCGCTGGCGCTCCTTCTCCTTCTTGATCAGGTCGGCCAGCTCCGGGTCGCCCTCCTCCAGGGGGTCTGCAGCATTTTCTGGTCGGCCATGGTCTGTTGGGATTCCGATGAAGTGGAATATATGTAGTGGGTACTGTTTGTGGGTACTTCAATGCAACGCGATGCGTTCACTGTCGCGATCTTCAGGTTTGTGCGGGCTGGGGAAAACGATCCCCGGCTGGAAACCTTCTCGGACATTTCATTCGAAACAACAAAAATATTTATGTTCCCGCGAGAAAAATGGTAAATAAACAGGTTCACTGGGTTCAAATAGCATCGGAAAAGTTTCGCTGATAAGGCGGCGGCGGAAGGCGAAGCTATCGCCTGGCGGAGATTAACCCTGGATGCACCATAGCAACCGCTCGACAGGCTCTCCATCCTCGATTAGATTGGCTATTAATATGCGACCACATGCGAATGGCACCATCACCATCACCATCGCACTTCTCGGAGGGAGTACCCCCCACGGCGGGTCTATCGGTGGGGGTCAGGAGGTCAGGTTACCGTTAGCAAGGGAGATAAGACCCCCCGTGGCGAATGACGTACTTCGCAGAGATCGGAACATATCGTACAGCTCAGATCTTTGAATCCATATTGAATGTACCACTCTCAATTAGTAGGTATATACATATATACCTCCCCATTCAATTCAGATCAGATCTTATGTGTAGGTAGTGCAAATATCAAAATACAGAATTGAGGGTCCCAATAGGCAGAAATTCGAGTAGGCCCAAACCAAACTAGTTTAAGGTTGAGATAGCGAGAAGAACTCTTACTAAGTCGCATTTTGCGAGGGCAGCTCAAAAATACCCTAATGTACTTTGAATTAAGTTTGCTAATAAAGAAACCATGTTTACGAGTGTTTCGTTTGAACAAATCTTCATAAATTATAGAAAATATCTGATTTTATTAGCAGTAGTCTGTTAATAAATTGTTCGCTCCGAACAACAACTTTTAAGCTATAAATTTGCAAGGATGGGAAGACCCTTTCACACAGAAGCTAACCCTAATTGTTCAGATAGGTAATGTCTACTCGACGAAGTCCCTCCTATAGTGATAATGCTTGAAGAAAGGGTAGCAATTTAAACGAAAAAGAAAACACATGGCTCGAAAGCGAAGAGCACATGGCAGCACCCGGTAAACAAACCGAGTCTGCAAAAAGAAAAGGACAAACACTGGATCAACTCGGATTCCGATTACTTTTTTCGATAACACGACTTAGTCGCCCAATTAGGAGCAAATTTAATTTAATAATACGGTTTTTCTGTTTGGCTAGCTCACCTTTGAAGTGCTCTGCTTGCTTTCCGAATATCTTCTGATCGCGGAGAATAATGCCGATTGCCGATTTTGGTCGCCGACGCGAGTTAAAGCTCCCCTCAGCTTTTTCGAGGCGGAGTTAACTGGGTTGTTAACTTTGGTGTACAGGGTCCGACCAATGCAAAATCGAAGGTTTTGTGCCAGTCTAGAGTGCGTCAGCGGCATTTTCGGGTCTAAGAATGTGTGTTTATCAAACCAATGCTGTACAAATTATAGATTTGTGCACTCACTCGGCTACGTTTGACATGAAACTGCTGCAAAGGCAAAATAAAACGCCGTTCGATGCCGAGATCAAAACGCCTTCACTGATAGGCGAATTCGATAACCCCTGACCCGAAACACTGTGATAAGGCCCCCCAAAAGGTATCGGTATCTCTTGTCTAGCGTCCACGGATTGTTCCACAAAAAATAATGACACTCGTAACGACGTAAACAAAATTTACCAAAAGAGCTTTCGAGGCAATCTGGCAACCCCAAAAAACCGTTTTGGCTTGAATTGTATTGTTCAAAATGAAAGTTAAAATTTTGTTTAATCTCTTTAACAATAATTCTGTATTAAATTTTTTTTATATATTTTAGCTCGCGGTTTTTATTCATCTTATTTATCTTTAAAGAGTAAGACACAATTGTAAAATATTCGTCAAAGTTAACGACCTTAGGTGCGGAAGATATAGTATGTTGCTGCAACATGTTGCTGGCTGCTCTCTCACTCGATTCGCCCGAAGTGAGAATGGACTGTGCAACTCTTCCCAGTCTGAAGTTTGAGAACACATTGAAAAAAACCAAGCGTCCTAAAATGCTGCATTTCCATTAAAGTAATATGTATATGGTGCAATATTTAAAAAACGTTTGACAATTCCCAACTGATTCAAGTGCGCACTTTTATTTGTTAGAATTTGTATTTCTAAAAAAGGTCAATTAAAAAACTTTGATTTTTCAGACGCATTAGATATACTTCTTAACAATCATACTAATTTTTTTCATCTGTCTAAAAAGAAATTAAGACTTTCCTGCATCGGGAATGAATTCTTTGCTTACCAAGGAAGCGAAAAAGAACACGTTGTGGAAGGTGTTCTCTTCCCACTGAGAGAGCGCAACAAACAAAAGTGTTTGCAACATTGTTGATAACAAAAGTCTATTTAAGCCTGAGCAAGAAGCTTTTTCACTAGCAAATTCGTCAGCTTTGAGGTGTGTTCGTTCAGCTAGCATTCGCATCGCGCTGAAAATTTGGAAAATATTAACAAAAACATTACATTTAAATTAACAATAGTCTTTCATTAAAACTTAATTTTTGCAGGCTATTTTGTGATAAATAACCTTTTTGACAATTTCGTGTTTGGTGATAAACAATTCTTTTAGTTTAAGTGCTTAGCATTAGAAAGCGCGCGATTTGAATTTTTTTACTGTGACGCAAAATGAATGGAAATGGCGAATCAGAAATTGTATGAATGAAGGAATTTTTCGCCGAGATCTGCACCGTGTGTTTAATTCCAATAACAAAACAAAAAACCAAACAAAAAATCCGCAAGACGTCATAAAAAGGTGAGAAAAAAATTATTTGTTTCACATGCTGAATAGCCTCGCAAAAATGCGTCATTTTAGTTTTAGTTTTAAATCAAAAAGTGTGTGATGTTATTGTGTTATCTTTTTTAATCGCCTCTCTATCTATTTTATTAAAAAACTTTGTGTGTTTCCATCTTTATGTGTTCTTTAAGTTTTTGTTAAAAAAGATATGAGAACCAAAAATTATGATAATAATTCCTTCTTTTTGGTTGAAATGTTCCGGTTTTGTTGACGTTACGACGTAAATATTGTAAAGCAGTTATTTTTTTTATTTATTTAATGTTTACTGTTGTCAATACACAAAAAAAAAAACAGGAAAAAAACCATCAATATAATTCATAGACCAGTGAATTTGAATTTTTTTTATCTAAGGTGGATAATTAAGTTTTTGTGCGGCCTGTGTAAAAACTCAACAAAATTTGACCAAGGCTGTATAGCTTAACTCGTTAGGTTGTTATTTTCGCTTTTTTTCGCCTTTTTATTGACTTTTTGTATTGTTTTTTTTGCTTTTTTGTTGAGAGAGGCATTTCCGCCTTCACGACAAAAGCAATTTGCATATTACTCTTAGTTCTCTTTTTTGTATTGCAATTAATTTTTACAACATTAATTATACAAACAAAAAATTAAATTGCAAATAGCGTTCGAGCGTTTTTATCTGGCCTTTTGTTTTTGTCCGCTGTTTTACCAGATTTTTTGTTTTCACAGCGGCATTCGCCTGCGCAAAAAACGGCACAAAAAGCGTGGAAGGGAAGGGGGAAGAGAGAAGGGGAGAGAGCCGCGTGCGGTTGTGCTGGGGCGGGCACATTTTTCGAGAGGGGGCTTCTTTGCATAAAGGAAGACCGCTTCCTTCCTTTTTCCCGTTACTCCTGCCAGAAGTGAGGCACCTCAAAAAATTGCTCAAGAGAAAATATTATCCTCGACTCAAACAATCCCATATCCAAAGCGTTTATAGAATTCGTCCACTTTGAAATCAACAAGTCTTCCCAAAATTCGACTTTAAATCCTGCCCTGGATTCTGTATTTGTGTTTGCGTGAGTACGCTCTTCTTTGCTCTCTTGCTCCCCACCGACCTCCACTGACCTGCCCACCTCCCCTGCGCCCCCGCCCACCAACATTTCAATTACATGTGAGCGCGTGTTCGAAATTTCAAGTTCATTGTCGAAAAACAAAACAAACCGATAGCAAACAAAAATAATGGCAAATGCATCGTTAGTGTCACGCCCCCTTCTATTTCCTAAAGGTTTTGTTAATATCATCTATCCAAAAGTTTGACTTACTTTTTTTAAAAATACATACATATGTATATACAGTGGTGCTCATAGACTTAAGCCACAAGACTTCAACCAAGAATTTAAACGAAAATTAAGAAAAGTTTTTATTTCACAGCTCCAATTATTTGTGTCACATTAGTTCTATATATCAGTGTTCTAATCGAAGAATAACCAAGTTATAAAAATATATATTTAACGAAAAACTTAAAAAATATGAGACCATCTCCAAAATGTCCTGCTCACATACTTAAGCCACCTGGAAGAAAATGGTTGAAAAAGTTAAAATTTGCCCAATATTCCTTATAATTTTAATAAATTTACTTTAATATTGAGTGGGGTGACCTTTCTGCTTAAGAACAGCGGAGCAACGCTTTGGCATTGAACCCACAAGACGTGCGCACTGTTGAGGGGTGATTTTCTTCCACTCTTTCTGCAAAACTCGCCACAAATCGTTTTTATTTGCTGGTTTTTTTTGGCCAACGACTTGTTTAAGAATTCCCCACAAGTTCTCTATAGGATTCAAGTCGGGACTCTGCGGTGGCCATTGCAAAACTTTGATTTTCACTTGGCTAAACCACGACTTGACTATCTTGCTGGTGTGCTTCGGGTCGTTGTCCTGTTGAAATATCCAGGCAAGTGGCAAATTATCGGCATATTCTCCAGATAAATTGTTAATAAGGATGTCCCTGTACATTTCGCCGTTCATAATGCCTTCTATCTTCACTAGGGGACCTACGCCCGATGCGGTGAAACAGCCCCAGACCATAATCGAAGCGCCCCCGTGTTTAACGGTCTTCTTCGTGTATTTGGGGTCCAATTGTTTGTTGGGAGGACGTCGTACATATGGTTTACCATCACTCCCAAAGACATTAAACTTGGATTCGTCGCTCCAAACAATCATGTTCCAAAAATTGGGACCTTTTTGAAAATGCTCTCTGGCGAATTGAAGGCGCGCTTTAACATTTTTTTTGGACAGCAATGGTTTTTTTTGGGCAATGCGTCCA